AAACCTTGGGCAAGTTTCCTTACTCCACACAGAGCCTAATAATAATCCCTCCAAAACTAAAAACAATAATTAAATTGGTCATTTTCAATCTACGACTGTTTGTGGGACATTGCTGTGCGCAATTGGCTGCCGCGTTCGCCCACAAATATACAGTCAATTCACTTTACAGTGTGTTCTGTGAAGCGCTTTGGGACGTCCTCCCGACGTGAAAAGCGCTATATCAAATGCAAGGATTATTATTATTATTATTATTATTAATAATGTTGGTAAATGAGAGTGTGTCATCGATATTGAGACTGGGTCCAGACATGGGGTTTCTCTTTGAATGAGACGACACATTGCTGAATGCTAAACCTAAAGTGTTCTCATAACTGCAGTTCAGCCATCCGGGAGCAGCCAAGTCTTTCAGCACAATCTTTGGGATTAAAATTAACAACAGTGCTGGAAACAATCACAAAATGCCCAAAATGAAGAGGGAAGGTGCGAGATGGATTTAACAATTATAATTATTATAACTGCAGAACACAAATCCCGATCAGTTAGTGCTGAAAATCAACAGGCAAAGGAGTGTCCGTACAGCCACATCCATGTTAGATGCTGCACAGTGCTGGGGGGGATATTCAATGTTCTGGGGATATTCAGTGCTTTAGATACTGGATCAGAGCCGTTCATAGCGCGGAATCTCCTGCGATGTTTCTGTAAAATGAAGAGATGAAAAGCAGAAGACTTGACATTAAATCTGGTTTAATCAAAGGTTGAAAATCAAAAGGAAAATTAACTCTGATTGAGTTTGCGGCAGTTCATTACCCCTGTGCCCTGCACAATCATTCTGTCTAATGAAAAGTATCTTCATATGTCAGGCAACGCTGTTATGGCATTACACGACAGCCTCACTGTGCGACTGACTTTTTGTGTTGGCCAGAAAAGCAATGTAATTTCTCAAAATGTCCCCGGGGTCTGTAATCACAGAATAGGTCGCTGTTTATTGATATTAAATACAATCGGTTCTGATCTTGATGAGAATCAGGTGAGATGGGTGTTTTCCTCTTGACAAATGGTTGAGCTGGGATTAATGAGATTCAGGTCAACGAACTGTGTCTCTTCACCTCTGCACTCAGTGGTCAATGGAATTGTCTGACAAACAGGAGCAAAGGATGGGGAATGGTTGTAGAGGAGAGCAGGCCGGGTCAGGACGAGAATATTGAGGGGTTTTGTTGATTTCCTTTGGGGATCAGAGCATATGTTTGCAGATATTTCGCTCAGGAGGTTGGTGGATGGGTGGTGTATGATGTGTGGAAGGAGCGCATGGATGCACATCCTTCCATCCTTGTGTTACTGGGGGTGGGGGGTGCTGTACTTGAGGGGCATTAGATGTCAGGCTTCTCATTAGAGGCAAAAATAGACATTATTCTGATACCGTCAGCCTAGCTCAGTCAGGCACACTCTGGGTCAGACGATTGTGGGTTGAAGCCTCACACCAGCTGACACTCCAGTTCAATGCTGGGGGAAGCGTTGCATTATCCAAGTCGCCATCCTTCAGATCAGATGCTAAACCGGAGTACCACCACAGTTTACGGGAAGCGCCTTTGAGAATTTGACAGAGTTGTAGGCGCCATATCAATTGCAAAAATTATCTTTATAAAGGTTGAGCCTGACTGGAATTCTCAGTCTACCAGGAGCTTCCAGTCTAGTGTTAGAGCAGGAATTCCTCATTCCAGTCATTGTTATCAGTTCTCAGGTGCTGGAGTGGAGATTAACATTTGCTGAAGTGCTCTGAACTGTCTGGCATTTGTTTGTGTTCAATTACTATATGTTAATATGTTTGCTGTTAATATTCTCCCTGAGCTTTACTGCACTGAGGGCTGGGGTTTCAGACAAGGGTCACTGCAATGCACATGGCAACCCCTGGTAGTAAAGTAAGACGGGAGGTGTAGTTTCTGCTCAGTCCTGATTGGAGCTGTCACTCTCTGCCTTTGTAAGGACAGAAGCTCCAGTGGATGTTCCTGGTCTGTGGAAGGGGATTGAGGGAGAATGATCTGCTCTGTAGATGAGAGGAATGTACAGTGATCCTCCGCGTGTATCAGAAACAGCCTCACTAAGTTCCGCTGGACCCTGACAGGCTGGGTGTGATTTACACTACCTCACCGTCTGACTGATCTGCCTGTATATCTTCCGTGAGAGATGTCAGAAAGGCTGAAATGATTACAATATAAACTGCTCCAATTGATTTGCCTTCCTGAGGCCCGGGATTAATTTCACAGCAGGTCACAGCCGTGCTCTCACCTTGGAGAGATTGATAGTCCTTTTCATTAACGACTTCACAACCCAATCACACAGTCGGAGATGTAACATTAGTATCGTGTGCTCTGGGCGAGGAGCCTGGTTTCAGTGCAGCGCTCCGCTGTAGACCTGTCTCCCTCACTGCCAAGCTGCACAATGTCAATGGGCGAAATCCCTTCCCATTCACTAGCACCGGATAGAATTCCAATCTAAAACTGTTTTCAATTCAAGGACTGAACCCCCGATTGTCACCTGTGCACACGGGTTGTACACAGACAAGCTCATCGCTGACCAGCCTTTACAGCATCCCCCCCCACCCCCCCCACCACTCTATTTGTGGTGTCCGGCATAGGGAGGAAATCCCACCGAGGAACTTAAATTTCTGACAATGTTTTAAAAGCTGACATTTTGGTTCGCGCACAAACTCAGATGTCAGAAAGGCTGAAATGATTACAATATAAACTGCTCCAATTGATTTGGCTTCCTGGGGCCCGGGATTAACTTCACAGCAGGTCACAGCCGTGCTCTCACCTTGGAGAGAATGATAGTCTTTTTCATTAACGACTTCACTTAGTTGGGTTGGGTTTGATTGCTGACCGCTCGCTTACACAGTCTGTGGCTAAATGGTTCAGCAGTTTATAGACATCCTCACCCACACACAATGCTTCGCATTAACTGGTATCTTTATCTGGTTTCATAACATTCATTTATTCACCCACCCAAACCCCCCCTCGTCATCTTGAGCAGACCTGTTAGCAAGTGTTCAGTAGACACCGAGTTCGGTTGCTTGGTTTCCCTTTTTGTTTGATTCTTGGCTCCACTCGAACCTTCCCATGAATATCAGCAAAACATTGAACTACAATTGTATTTCTCTTCAGAAATGGGGCTCCTTAAGGAAACGCAGGCAGAATAGGACACAGTGTCCTTGGCAATCTAAGCAATCATTTCACAACTTTCCCGTCCGGCTTTCAAATCCCCAAGTAAAGGTCGCAATCTGCAGGAACCGTTTCACTAGATGGGATTTGGAAATGTGGAGGCAAATGGTGTGAATAGTCCCTTTCACAACAGTGAGTGGGGCAGAGACTGAGTGCAAGGCTTGCTCTCAAACGGCATAACTTGTGAGTGGAGGAGATGAATGAATTAGGAGCCCACTTCACTGTTGTGGCAGCTCACGGAAGTACCTGATCTTTTTTGATTCCGTTTCCCAACTTAATAATAATAGTTTGATTATAGAACCTTATCACATCTTTGAGCCATCTCAAAGCACTTCACAGGATATACTGTAAAGTGTAGTGACTGTATGTCTTGTTGGGATTAGAGGGGTGATCTGATTGAGGTGTTTAAAATAAGAAAGGAATTCGAAAGGGTCACTACAGAGAAACTATTTCCTCTGGTGGGGAATCCAGAACAAGGGGGCATAATCTTAACATTAGAGCTAGGCCCTTTAGGAGTGAAATTAGAAGGCAGTTTTTCACCCAAAGGAGAGTGGAAATCTGGAACTCTCTCCCTCCCCCAAAAGGCTGTGGATGCTGAATCCATTCACATCTTCAAGACTGAGGTGGAGAGATATTTGTAGGATCAAGGTATCAAAATATACGGGTAAAGACGGGTAATTGGACTTGAGGTACAGATCAGCCATGATTTTATAGAATGGTGGAACAGGCTTCAGGGGCTGAATGGCCTACTCCTGTTCCTATGTTTCTATTATTATTACTACAAACATTGCAGACTGTTGGTTTGGGCAGTTTTACTTTCCATAAATTATAATCTGCTGTGATAAATCACACTGTAGATTTTGTGCTTTGACGAATGATGCACTCTCTTTGTCACCTGTAAAGACTTCATGTCAGAGAATGTCAATTCAATACTGTCTGTATCTCATTCAAAACACAACGTGTGCAGATTCTTCCTAGAATACCGAGGCTTTACCAGGTGGCTGTGGAGGCTGAGACCATAATATTCCAAAGCAAACTGGATAAACGTGCAGTATAACAGCCTACAGGGAAAGAGCAGGGAATTGGGATTAGAATAGACAGTTTCAACGGGCGTCAACATAACACAGCACCATGGGCTAAATGGCCTCCCCCTGTGCTGTAACTTCTCTGACTTTGCTGTTTATTTTCATCAATGGGAATAAACTGGTTTGCTAATTAAACAAAGCCGCTATCAAAGCCTTGAAAGGTTTACAATAATTCTCTGGGACTGGATTGTGAAGATACACACTGTGGCCTGCAGAGACTGAGAGCCATCGCCAGGCGGTGACTTCACTTGGTTTTACTCTGATTTTAATATTAATCAGCGGTCAGGCCTTCAGCCTCTCTGACCCCACCATTTGGAACTCCATCCCAGTCCCCTCGCTTTACTCCCTCTCTTGGCTCCTTCAAGGCACGTCTCACCTCTTTGACCACGCCTTCGGCCACCCTCCTATCCCTGCCCTCCACACCCCCCCCCCGATCCAAGCCCCCTGTTCAGGATCAAATCCCTGACTGTCCAGCGCCTTGGGACGTCCTATCAATGTGAAAGGCGCAGTGTAAATGTAATTGTTTTGTTGTTAATAAAATGGGAGGCACTGGGAAAGCTCCAGACCTAGTGAGAATGAAGAGGCTAAAAACAAGCCTGGAATCCGGGGGGAATGGATGGGCCTTCAGTCCAGGGGGACAAGTGAACACGGCATGTACACCCCAGCCACTCATGATGACAGGTTCTCTATTTCTGGGCAGGTTGACGAAGGAAGCAAAGACATCCCTCTGGGGTCACTGATTGCTTTGATGGTGGAGGAAGGTGTGGATTGGAAGCAAGTGAAAATCCCTGCCCAGCCAGTCACTCCAGCCCCCACCCAGCTCCCACCAACGCCACCCACAGTGCCTCAAGCATCTATCACCAGCAAAGCGCAACACTTGGGCCTAACCGGCAAAACACAGTGAGTATGATAATCCTTACATTTGATATAGCGCCTCATCACATCATCGAGAGGCCTCAAAACACATCACAGGATATGCTGTATAGTGAATTGACTGACATGGGGAAAAGCGAGGGAGTGGGACTGATTGAGTAGCCCTTCCAAAGAGCCGACACAGTCATGATAGGCCGAATGGCCTCCTTCTGTGCTGTTAGATTTTATGATTCTATTCTATGAATTGATATACTGTAAAGCGAATTGACTGTGTCATTTGTGGGCGAAATGCGGCAGCCAATTGTGCACAGGAGTGTCCCTCAAACAGTCATGGATTGAGTGACCAAATTATTATTATTTTTAAGTGATTATTACCCCCAGAAGGGCGATCTGCCAATTGACTAACAACCGGGTTCCTATTTGCTGCTTAGTAAACAGAGGCGTGTGTAGTGAGAAAACTTACCCAAAGTTTCACCCTGCCCAGGAATTGAACCCAGGTCTTCCCTCTTGCGAGGCGAGTGCTCTAATCACTAAGATACAGGATTACATAACAGTATCCATTAGTTCTATAAACTCTGCACTTATACATAATCTATTAGCTTTGGTCAGGTTAAGAGGATTGTTTTCCTCAACAACGTGTTTGCTAGATGTTGGTGTCCAGCCTGTACTCTCCTTGCTTCCGGCACCCTTCACCCTGCCATTGGTTGCCAAGCTTTCAGACTCCAGGCCCCCCGTCCTCCTGAGCTGTCTTCTGAAACTCACTTTGCCTTGCAAAGAACTTAACATGTTCCTTAGATGTTGACCAGCCCACAGTCTGGTGACTTGTATTGTATTTCAGGAGGAATCTCCTGATTATGCTCAATCTATTCATTCAGCTCATTTGCTTTTTGGCCCAGACCTGACTTTGACCCGTTCTCTTTTGTGTTGTGAACAGTGTCCGCCTAAGTCCAGCTGCTCGGCAGATCCTGCAAACCCACGGGCTTGATCTGAATGGAGCTGTCCCTTCTGGGCCACGAGGGATCTTCACAAAGGAGTACGTAACAACAACTTGCATTTACACAGCGCCATCACACAGGGTAACATCTCAGAAAGCTTGACAGTGGCAGAGCACGACGCGAGCCGGGGGGAGGGGGCGGGGGTGACAGTAGGTACGGTCAAACAGGAAGTGATCTGAAGATGGGGAAAGAGGGAGCAAGGCGGAGGGATAGAGGGAGAGTGTTCCAGAGTTTTGGGGCATAGTGGCATGAGGGACAAGTAGGAAGGCATACGTAAGTTTGCAGTTGCCACTGATCACGTTGGTACTCGCTCCTTTTATCTCAGTCAGTCGGAGGGCTGGAGTAGGATCAGTGCTGTCGGTGCAGTGTGGTGTGTGCAGGGTTTCAGCTCAGCCTGTTTGTTGTGATCAGCAGTAAAGACCACATGGTGGCATTGATGCTGTTTGTATGCACAGTGTGTGGAGCTATTTAGATGAAGTCGGAGCTGGAGATGAATGGCACCGTGTGAGAGTCTGTTGAATACATGGTGCCTGGAACCACAGCTGCTCAGTGCTTTAACCCACATCTGATTGGTGGATTGCGTTAGAGGTGAAAGTGGCATTGCCTATAATACTCTTCTGGTTACTGGAATGCTGGGTAGTTAACAGCTGAATCTTGTTCCACTCGCACACAGGCACGGACACTCTCACATACTAACACAGGCATCCTCTCACAAGATAACACCTGCCGGCTGTCACACACTCACGAGCTCTTGCACCCGCGCTCATACACACACATGCGCTCTCGCACAAGCACTCTTGTGCATGCGCACACACACCCACATGCACAAACACAGACACGACACATGTGTGCACACAAACACACCGAACTTACACGGGCGCGAACACATTACAATAGTGGCAGTATGTCCAGTCCATTGACTGTTGACGGCCGCTGTCTTATTGTGCAGACAACATATCAAGTATTGAAATCAAATATTTACGTGGGTGAAAAACCCTTCCCTCCTCACTATTGGTGTTTACTTAATACCTGATTTCCGCTGCATTCACAAAAATATTCACGAGAACATTTCCCCTCCCCGCTGCATCCCCACACAAAACACATTCCTCTGTGTTCTCCAAAGCAGGGCTGAACCGATGCTGGGACAAGCGTTACATTGTAGAGAGGAGTAGATTACTGGTGAACAGCAGATGGTGTGCTCTAATGCCCCTTAGTCTGAATTAAATTAGGCAATGCTTTTGTTGGGATCTGACATGCCTGTAAACACATTCACAGCTCTGCTTTCCAATTGCAATTGAATGCTGGGTCCGTGGGGAGGTAACACCCACCCAGAGCTGGATGCTATAACTAACCTGCAACTAATGCTCCTGCAATAACAGCACTCACACTCGCTCTGGACAGTAACCTCTCCTACCACTTTCTATTCTCTTTTTGAACATTTGTGTTTGTCTCAACAGCTTTAACAATAACAATAATAATAATAATCTTTGCATTTGATATAGCGCCTTAATCGCGTCTTCTAGACGTCTCAAGAACACAGCATATACTGTAGTGAATTGACTTTAATTCACTTTCTAATCGGCTGGTGGGATTCCCTGCTCGTAATCAGCAATTAGTGAAGTCAGATCATTTTCAATCTTTTTACTTTATTGCTTTTTTTCACGTCTCAATCTCCTCTCGCTCCCTCCTGAGGATGTTGTCTCTTTGCCGGGTAAAGTTGCTCAGCTCCCTGAGGCGTGAGGCTACCGGCATTGCATGTCCGGAGGTTTCTGAGATTTCCCTCTGTTCTCTGTGTTGTGTAGAAAGCCTTTCGGGATTTTATTCGCCCACAAATACACAGTCACTCCTCTTCACAGTAAATCCCGTGAAGCGCTTCGGAATGTCCTCCCCACGTGGAAGACGCCATACCATATGCAGAGATTATTACTACAATTATTTATTTTCTTTTTCTCTCTGATGATCCTGGGTCAGACCTTTTGGATACAAACCATTGGAAATGGAATTGTGTCTTTAAAATGATAAACACTTGCTGAAATAAAGAGGATGTGGGAGCAGAAAGGATCGACGCAGTAAATGATGGAGACCCGTATAAACAGCCATCTGTTGAGTAATGAAGTGATTAACCTGGTGTTGGGAGGGGGGGTTGAGAAGAGTGAGCTCAACTGGTTACATAAACCCACACCACGGGGATCAGGGCAGCCTGGGTGCACAGCACAGAGCTGATCCCATCCCAATTAATGCGCAGATAAAGACGGCTCTATGTTTAGACACGGGGAGGAATTAAAAGGTTTTTGTGCCGCGAGGGGTTGAATAGATGAATCGAATGAATAGATGTGAGAATGCGTTTGGGTGTTTCCAGGACCAGGAACAACCGTGGCTGGGGTGGGGAGCGGAATGGTCTCAGAATCCAGCTCACAGAACGTTTCACAGGAGCTCACCCAGTGTCAGTCATTCTTGTCAATGACGTTCTTGTCAATGAGGCTTTACAGTAGTGCTGACACTTCTACTCCCAACAACACATCCCACATATCAAATCATGCATATTCCACACCTCACACAGCAGGTCCCCAGCACTCACTAAGAACTCAGTGTTCCCTCACCCAGAACAAAAATAAGCATGAATAATAATAATCCTAGCATTTGATGTAGAGCCTTATGTGTGATTAACTGTTGAGATGAGCTTTGATTTTTAACTTGTTGGTCAGAAATAATAATAATAATCCTTGCATTTGATACAGAGCCTTACCGTGTCTTTGAGACATCTCAAAGTGCTTCACAGAATATACTGTAAAGTGTAGTGACTGTATATTTTGGTGATGAAACGTGGAAGCCAATTGCGCACAGCAGTGTCCCACAAACAATCGTGGATTGAGTGACCACGTTATTTATATAGTTCATTTTTTAAGGATTATTACCCTCGGAAAGCGATCCGACAATCGACTAGCAACCAGGTTCCTACTTACTGCTGGGTAAACAGAGGCATGTGGAGTAAGAAAACGTACCTGAGGTTTCTCCTTGCCGGGAATCAGGCCCAGGTCCTCTCGCTTGTCCGGCGAGTTCTCTAACACTACAGGACTCCACGTTAAACCTACATGGTGGCACCATCCGGACGTAAGACATGAAATTCTATCCAGTCTCAGCTTGTGAAACCCTATTTGGATCAATTGCACGGCAACATTTAAGATCGCGTTAAAATTGTATGAAAAATTCTTAAACTTGGTCTTAATTCGGAAGCCGTTTGTCAGTTGTTAAAAAGTAACTCTGGTCGTTACAGGTTAGCCGCTAGGGGGAGCAGCAGGCTGATCCTGAAGCCAAGCCATGCGGATGGGAAGTGGAGTGTGCTCTCCTCTGTCCTGCGGAGCTGAGCACCCATCACTGGGGGCACACTCACCAGCTCACACAATTGGTCACATTTGAACAGCAGAGGGCAAATCAATCGCATTGTCAGATATGATTGTGGAGTCCTGTAGGAGTTCTGTAGGGTAGTAATTATAGCACTCGCCTTACAAGAGAGAGGAGCTGGGTTCGATTCCCAGGCTGAGCGAAATGTTGGGCAAGTTTCCTTACCCCACAAACCTCGGTTTACCTAGCACTAAGTAGAACCCGATTGTTAGTCGATTTGTGGATAGCTTTTTGGGGGAAAATAATCCCTTAAAAACATTTCTAAAAAATAATTTGGTCACTCAATGGAGGCAAGTGCCCTAACCACTAAGCTACAGGATTCCTTTCGTAACTTCTTAATAGTAATAATCCTTGCATGTTAACAATAATAATAACTTCTTTGGTCAGGAGAGCAAGCGTTTTGCTCATTCTGAGTTTAATTCTTGGAGGTATCACAACCTTAACTTCAGGATATTCAGCCAGTCTTTCAGTTTCATTTCCAACCAAGAGGAATCTTCTGCTGGAGGAACAATCTGGATTTCTGTTTGCTATTTGGGACTGTGTGAAAGAGATTGCAGGCCAAAATTACTGAGATTCACACTGATCAATGTCCAAGTCAGGTTTCCCCAGCGACAGCCCGCGCACACTGAGCCCCTGAAGGAACTTTCATTTAGTACAGCCATGCTTTGCAGATTAAAACAGAAATATCACCCATTTACGGCTCTCTTAAACCTCAAAACTTTATGTCCAGTCTATACAAATAACGTGATGCTGTGTTCACTGTGATATCATTCACATATCTAATACCTCCACTCTGCTGTTGTTTGTAGAAGTTGAAAGTTGCTTTTTCTCCACTTTTAAAGTAGAGCCTGAGATGTTAACAGTAACCAGCCGCAGTATGAGGTTTGTGCCACACATTAATATGGGTGATCTGTATAGAAGAAAGTTAAATACTCTCCTTAGCTCCAGTTAATTGAATGGTTCCTCTGTCGCTCCTCTGCCTGTCTACCAGGTAAAGAGTTGGTGATAAACATTTGCCAATAACTTTTTTCAGCACCTGTTATTTTTAAAATGCAATGTTTTGATTGTTTCCACCTCTTGCTTAGATTTCAGTGCAATGTCAGTTTCCACAGATCTTGTTTTAGAGTTCCTAAGGCCAGACACATGAGGGCGGTGAGGTAAAGCTGGTTTAGGCTGCAGGCTGGCCTGGGAGAGTAGGAGAGAAGCACCTGGTAGTGTTATACTGGTGCCTGTGATGGCCGTATGTTCCTCAAACAATGCACCCATAGTGGTGAGTTTGAGAGCTGCTCCAGCATGTGATTATAATAATAATAATCCTTGCATTTGATATAGCGCCTTAACATGTCTTCAAGACGTCTCAAAGCGCTTCACAGAATATACTGTAAAGTGAATTGACTGTATATTTTATGGGTGAAACGCGGCAGCCAATTGCGCACAGCAGCGTCCCACAAACAGTTGTGGATTGAGTGACCAGATTTTTTTTAGTGGGATTATTAGCCCCTGGAAAAGCGATCCCCCAATCAACTAATAACCAGGTTCCTACTTACTGCTGGTTAAACAGAGGCGTGTGGAGTTAACCTGCCCAACATTTCACCCTGCCCGGGAATAGAACCCAGGTCTTCTCACTTGCGAGGCGAGTGCTCTTAACCACTGAGCTAAAGGTTACAGGTTAGATTGCTAGTTTGCCACTGAGGATCTCCTGTCTTATTTCACAGAGATGCACAGAACCTGGTGAAGCAGAGAGGGACCACACCACGACCCAGCACAGCCGCCCCTGTGCCACCTTTCGCTGCTGCCGTTCCCAGCGCTGCTCCCACTGCCCCTCTAGCAGTCCCGAGTCTCCCTGGATACCCCAGGCCCATGATACCACCAGTTTCAGTCCCTCGACAGCCACCAGCCCCGGTAGGTGTTTATAGACAGACTAATAATCATTATGCTTACATTTGATACAGCGCCTTACATGTCGGTAGGGAATATTTCACAGGATATACTGTGAGTAACTGTTTTTTGTGGGCGAATGTGATAGGAATTAAGTTACGTTGTGTAAACTAAAAAAAACTGATGTGTAAATCATATGCAACACAGCCCGCGTAATCCTGCCGCCAACCTCGACTTGTCAACCGTGCCGCTCTGTGGTGAGACTGAGTGGTGCTGTGTCTATGTATAGTCAGTTAATGATAGGGGCTGGTTTTGATGGTTCAGGTTATTGTATATAAAAAGTGAGTGTTGTCATCAGCGGCACAGGCCAATATCAAACTACTGTATAGCACCACAAGGCTGGAAACATTAATCTTTATTATGATGTTTAGTTTTAACTACAGTACTTGCTCCCTTAATGTGTGTATTTGGTTCATTGGGATTCTCCATTGGGAGAGAATGGCTAGGTGTTTGGTGCACTGGATATCTGTCTATTGGGAGTAATTGGGAAGCACTGAATAGATAGATCATCAGCACTGCGCAGGTGAAGGACAAAAGCCTAGGCAGAAACCATTCTAATGATTTCTTTCTACCCAGAGCTGGGGACAGGGACTGAACAGGAGCTACTGTGCTCGTGAAGCTGCCCAGTAAAAACATTCTTTTTCTTTTCCAATCATTTTGTTTGTGTCTTGCTGAGGTGATTTGTGAGCTGTGACGGAGTACTTACTGCTGTAATTGCTGCTGTGTCCAGAGGTGGTTTGTGGGCTTTGCGTTGAGAGCTGTCAGCGACCACACCCACATCTGTCTGGAGCCTTCGGGCCTTGACCACAGCTACATAGTGGGTTAGAGCTCACAATAGCGACAGATACAATATTGTTGTCCTTTAGCAATTAGAACAAAAATAACTGCAACAACATTTGTATAGCGCCTTTCATGTTGGAAGGATGTTCCGATTGCAATGCATCACTCAAGCCTGGAATGACAGGGAAGCCATAGGTGTTTATTATCCAAATTAAACTTCTTCAGCTTTAAAACGAACTGAAGGAAATGTGTGGTTGCGTTTGGTTTTAAAACAGGTTTGCTGCAAAATAATTATTAACTTCCAGCGTGTCCGAGGCAAAGAAAACAGCAGGTGCCCAGAGTGCTTTAGTTAGTACAGCTCATTCTGTAGCACACGGCTTCAGTACCTGAGCTGTTGCCTCTCCTGAGGAGGGTTTCCATTAAAGCCGGTGCTAGTTTATCCATCATATAACTTGCTACAAGCACGTTGTAACCTCTGACATCCCTTACTCGATATAACCACAGCCCTGAGAAACGAGATCAGGGTGATTTATATAATATAGAATAATATAGGATCGATAATCGATTCGATTTTTTTTCAAACGGAATTCTCAGCAAACAATAATAAAAAAATATGGAAAGGTTTCTGATTTAAAGTTGCTCGTAAAGAGTTAGTTAATTTTATAAAGAAATGACTTTTAAGTTTTAAAAAGAAAAGAAACTGGGTGTATCATGTTGATAACACAATCAGTTCCTCATTCTGAATACCAGACAGACTTCAAATAAGATTTTGTTTCTCCTGGCATTGTGTGATAGCTGTTAACCCCTTCATGTGTGTCTGTAGGGGAGTGTAATTTTTATAATTTTATAATTCTCTGGAACTCCATCCCACAGTCCCGTCGCCTCACTCTCTCCAGTGCCTCCCTCAAGGCACGCCTCAAGACCCTGCTCTTTGACCGCGCCTTTGGTCACCCTCCCTGTCCTCCACCCTCCCTCATCCCAACCCCCAGCTTGGATCCAAATCCCTTAACTGTCCAGCACCCCAACCTGAAAGGCGCAGTGTAAATGTAATTTGTTGTTGTTGTAATCTTTGTCAAGTAAAAATGAGTCCTCAGTGCGAACTTGCCCACGATGCGACACTAATGGCAGCCTCTCTGACATCACTCGGTCGAAGAAAGTGCTTGGAGGACAAAAGACCATGTCTCTTGACATGATTTATATCCTTGTTAAAAACAAACCAACTGTGTGTCTCTCACTGATATTATAATATCAGGAATTTGAGGTGGATGTCACGCAACTCAGCAACTGAGCTGCAGAGGAGGTTAGCCAAGGGGGGGAGCAAGGCATAGTGTGATCTATCCAGCAGAACTCAGTGGAAATGAATTTATCAGATTGCCCTTATTAAGAAAAATACATCAGTAAATAGTCGGTGCACTGGCTAAGTTCAAAGAGGTCATGGATTTCTTTATCTCCAAGATCTCCTTAGATTTCTTTATCATCCACCATGTCCCCATGACACCCCTGCCCCCCCCCACCATTCTCTCTCCATCACCCACTCCTCCCACGGCTCCTACCATCGGCCCCAACCTACTTGCCTTTGCCCCCATCTCTCCTTCCTCCCCCTCATACTCCATCACCCAGATGAAACCCACCACCTGCTGGTCACTCAACTCACCCTCCTCTTTCCACTGCTGGCAGACACGATCAATCAGTCTGTCTCCTCAGGCTCAGTCCCACACCCCCTAAAACAGCTGTCATTACTCCCCTCCTTAAAAAAACCTACTCTCGATCCCTTCAACCTCACGCACTACCGTCCCATTTCAAACCTGTGCTTCCTAGCCAAAGCCCTGGAACCTGTTGTTGCAAACCAACTTCGCTCACACCTCACCCTCCACTCCCTACTCGAACCCCTCCAGTCTAGTTTCCACCCGGCCCGCAGCACAGAGAAAACGCTCATCAAAGTAACAAATGGCATCCTCTCTCTCTGTGACCAGGGCTCCCTCTGGCTCCTCGTTCTCCTGGATCTCTCCGCTGCATTCGATCCAGTCGATTACGCCATCCTCCTCCACCGCCTCTCTTCCTTTCACCCATCTTATTGGGATCGCACTCGGATGGTTCGAGTCCTACTTAACCAACCGCCAACACTTCATCTCGGCCAATGGTTTTTCCTCTCGCCTCCCCCCCCCCCCCCCCCCAACCCCCCCTTCTGGTCACCCATGGGGTACCCCAAGGCTCCATCCTTGGCCCCCTTCTTTTCCTCATCTACATGCTCCATCTCGGCAATGTCATCCGCAGACATGGGGTCAACTTCCACATATGCCGGGATGACACTCAAATCGACTTCTCCTCCAGCTGCGACACTGATGTCCTGTCAGCTTGTTTGACGGACAACAAGGCTTGGATGAGTGCAAATTTCCTGCAGCTGAATGTTGGCAAGACGGAAGCCATACTTTTTGGCTCACATCAGCGTCTTCTCTCCTTCTGGCCTGAACTTCTCAACCTCCCCGGGCTCTCCCTCAGACTCTGAACCTGTGCCCAACTTAGAGTCAGATTCGATCCCCAGCTTTCCTTTCTCCCTCACATCCATTCCCTGACCAGGAATGCTTCTTTCCACCTCCGTCACATTTCCCGCCTCCGGCTGTACCTCACAACCTATGCACTGAAACCCTCGTCCAGACCTTCGTCACTTCCCGGCTGGACTGTTCCAATGCCCTCCTCGCTGGTCTCTCCAGCTCCACCAGACACAAACTACAATTGATTCAAAACTACGCCGCCCGGATACTCACCCACACAAAACTCCGTCCCCCCATCACACCAGCCCATGCCAGGCTCCACTGGGCTCCCAATCACCGAACGGATCAATTTCAAGATCCTCTCACTTGTTCTCAAACCCCTTCGTGCCCTCGCACCTCCCTACCTCTCCGATCTGCCTACCCACCACTCCACCACCCGCTTCCTCTGCTCGGCTGGTTTGTCCCTTCCTCCTCCGCTCCACTGAAACTCTGGAACTTTATCCCTCAATCCCTCCACTTTGCCTCCTCCCACCTTCAAATCCCGCCTAAAGACCTTCCTTTTTGATCGTGCTTACGGTCACCTCTCCCCTTCCTCTCCACGTCGCTCGTTGTCAGACTCCCCCACTGTCAAGCGCTCTGGCGCACGATGCTACTTGAAGCCCACTATATAAATGCAACTGGCTATCCAACCACAACAGATTACATTTGTATGGTGCCTTTCTTGTGGGGAGGACATCCACTGGTGATGAGAAAATCTCTAAATAATCACATGGTTCTTGACTGGCAATGAGTGTGTTATGTACGAGCAGAGAGTTCAGATGAACATACAAAATAATATTTGTGATTTGGATGTACTAGACTTGTACCTATTTAGCTACAATCTTTTAATACTGTGGCTTTAAATAAGTATCCAAATGTTTTGAAAAACAGTGGACAAAAATATGTACCAAAGCTGTTAGCAGTGAGCGGCCGTGTTTTGTTAGGATTCTTCAATGATCCATTGAGGGGTTGAGTTTATCAGAGAAACCCCACGCACAGCGCTGCATTCATTCCAACATGGGCTGTGTTTTGAAATTTGCTTTCACTTACAAGCTGACTAAATAAAACCAAATATTTCTGTTCATTTTTGTTTTGGCTACTGAAAATATTTGTAATTTATCTTCTCCCCACCGCCTGATTCCTCCAGCCATCTGCATTCCCCTCCTTGTTAGATGTGCTTCAGCCACTATGCCCCGAGGCTCTGGAACTCCCTTCCCATTTTCAGGTCTTTGCTGAAGACCTTTCTTTTCGGCCGCGCCTTTGGTCACCTTCCCCCCCTCCCCCTGACTCGGTCCCGGGATCCATTACTGTAAAGCGCTCTGAGACGCCATCCGGCGTGGAGGACACTATATAAATCCAAGTTGTTGTTGTTGTTGCTTGAGGGGGGGAGTGATTGAGAGCAAGACCCGAGTGAGGGTGTGTGTGAGGGTATGAGGGTGGTGTATGCGCGTGTGTGGGTGTGTGTATATAATAATAATCCTTGCATTTGATATCACGTCATTGAGACGTCTCAAAGCGCTTCCCAGAATCTACTGTAAAGTGAATTGACTGTAAATTTTGTAGGAGAAACATGACAGCCAATTGCGCACAGCAGAGTCCCAGAAACAGTCGTGGATTGAATGTGGGGGAGTGGGGCGGGTGGGGGGTGGGGGGGAGTGTTTATACGCTATTGTGAGACGGGTGTAAAACAGTATTGGTGATGGTTCTGTTTTCAGGGCACATTTACTGAAGTGCCAGCGAGTACCATCCGGCAGGTCATCGCACAGAGACTGACAGAGTCTAAAACCACCATCCCTCACTCTTACAGCAGTATCGACTGTGACATCCAGCAAGTGCTGCAAAGCAGGAAGCAGCTCGCCAAAGGTGAGGCAATGTCCGTCCTCCTGCCCGCCGGTCCGCGCGTCTGAACTTTTGTCACAAACATAACCCTCCCATGTGTGTGCCCACACCTGGTCACTCTCCCTTACTGTCAGCAAAATATACAAACTGGCAAAATAATAGAAAGCAACAACTGGAACCATCAAAATCTGCTTCCATAAAAGCCTTGTGTGACTGGTGCTGAGGTGATTATAATAATAATAATTCTTGCATTCGATATAGCGCCTTATCATGTCTTCGAGACGTCTCAAAGCACTTCACTCAATATACTGTAAAGTGAATTGACTGTATATTTTCTGGGCAACATGCGGCATCCAATTACACACAGCAGCATCCCACAAACAGTCGTGGATTCAGTGACCAAGTTGTGATATGGATTTTTACTTCACTGCATGATGGAGTAACATGCTGTACACATTGTGCAGGGGACAAGGGTTCCCTCATCGGGGCCCAATGACAGCACAGCTCTCCTGGTGTGTGAAGCCCGAGGCAGGATTGCAGCCAGGGAATCCCTTCGCTGCCAGTACAGTGTCTGCCTGTGAAGTGGTGCGTGAGAATACTTTGCTGGAGGTGCAGTGGCTGTAACACGGATAGCAATAGTCTGCTGTGGAAGCTGCCTGAATATATAACCATACAGTTGACATTGATTGCGTTGGAAGGGCGTCTCAAAATGTCTATATTTCACAACTTTAGCCGTCATGGGTTTCACATCGCCTTTGCAAATGTGCACTTGTGCCAATGTGTATTAGGAGGTATCATCGTGCTTGTGAAATGCGAGATGTGTTGCGCCTCCCAGTCTATTTATAGCACAGAGTGACATGTACAGATCAATCAGCACGTTTCTCATTCACATTATATTGCACAGGCTGCTGGAGAGGAGCCAGGTTCTCGGCCTCCTTGATTGATAGACAGAATCTTATTTCCACCGAATCCTATTTTCCAGCTCAGGCAAGTGTTCAACCAGCCGACTGACCACGGAGTAGTCCTGCAGGTCCCAGCGCAGGGTCAGCAGTGCAGTTAGTCACACTGCGCGAGGTTTATGGTTTTAACTATAATATTTTTTACTGCAGTGAAGTAAAGGTCCATATCACAACTTGGTCACTCAATCTACGACTGTTTATGGGACACTGCTGTGCATAATTGGCTGCTGCGTTTCTCCCACAAATATACAGTCAATTCACTTTACAGTATATTCTGTGAAGCGCTTTGAGACATCGAGAAGATGTTAAAAGCGCTATATCAAATGCAATGATTATTATCATCTAATAATAATAATCCTTGAATTCAAAATAGCGCCTGATCATGTCGTTGTGACGTCTCAAAGCGCTTCACACAATAAATTATTAACTGGATTGACTGTGTATTTTCTGGGCAAAACGCAGCAGCCAATTGAGCACAGCAGCATCCCACAAACAGTCGTAGATTGATTGACCAAATTGTTTGGGGAGAAATTATTATCCCTGGAACGTGATTAACAATTGAGTTCCTACTTACTGCCAGGTAAACAGGGACATGCGGAGTTGCCTATGGAAGGGCCCCAAACTGGGAATCGAACCCGGGTCCTCTCGCTTGCTCGTGGCTCCACGAAACTAAGAAAACTAGGAATTTATAAATTGGTCAAATTAAAAGCATTTTCTCTGAAGACAATCTGCGCTCTTTATCGAAATTATTACCAATACACGGTTCAATAGTCTAATTCCTATCAGCCTGTTTACTCTGTGCTTTTCATGCCCTGGTTTCAACAACGTTGAAAGCCACTGTGTTCAGGCGGGGTGAAGGCATTCTGTTATCTGAGGCACAGCACACTGTTTATCTGGGAAAGGGGATTGTGCAAATCTCTGAACCTTTATTTCTATTCAAATCTAATTCTTTAGTCGTTACCAAAGTAATTACTGTAATCTTCCCTTACAGAGAGGAAAGCATTTATTGTGTTGTGTAACAGTCCTGTGAGTTGTGCCATTAACTCATCACACACCACAGTTTGTGTTTAGCTCTCTGGCTCTTGAACATAACTGTTTCTTTATCTGCAGGGTTCAGCATTTGAGCATCTTTGCAAATATTGTAGCCTTCCAGATAAAGCTGCCATCACTGGCTGTGAGGCACTAATTTCCTTTCAGTAAACACCTCCACCTCTCAGGAGCCAGGGAAAGAAATGATAGTGACTTTTCTCATCGAGATTTACCTGTTTGCAATCAGCGACAACTCAAATTCAACCCAGCTCGAACCGGCTAGTCATACGTCCACACACACAAGTTTCAGTGGTCAACTTTTTTGGTCGGCCAATAAAATAAATCAATATTTATTTATTCAATATTTATACCACAAATCAAGAAATATTCAGTCAAGCAAAAACTGGACACAAAACATTGGTTGAACATGGATTTACCTAGATTAGTATGAATGTTCACCAGGACAGTTCTTGACACCCCTGAGGGCCACTTCCGGCCCACGGGCCGTGAATTGGCCACCACTGAGATACACCAAGAAACCAGAGTAACATTCAGCATAGCATGGTTCGTCCGTTCATATTAAACTGGGAGCCGCGGACTCGATATAGGGTCTTGTGCTGACCTGCTGCTCTGTGCTGCTGTCACATAGGTTTTGGAAATGACCAGAATTACAGACTGCAACCGAGTGCTCAGTCAGTGCACTGGGAAATAAGCTCCAGGAACTCCCCCACCCCCACAACACACACAACAACAACAACAAAATGACATTTACCGAGCACCTTCCATGTCGGGAGGACGTCCCAAAGTGCTGAACAGTCAGATGTCAGGCCCCGAGCATGGGGGAGGGATGGTATGGGGGTGAAGGAAGGCAGAGAGGTGGGAGGGAGACCAAAGGCACGGTCGAAGGGAAGGGTCTTGAGACCGGCCTTGAAGGATGCAAGGGAGGAAGCGAGGTAAAGGGACTTTGGGATGGAGTTCCAGAGTGTGGGGGGAGAGAGGCTGAAAGCCTCTCACATAATATTAATAATAATAATCCGTGCATTTGATATAGCGCTTTTCACATCAGGAGGACGTCCCAAAGCGCTTCACAGAATATACTGTAAAGTGAATTGACTGTATATTGACACATACAAACACACTGTATGTCAAGGCAACTGGCTAGACCTTAGCTCCGAGCTAAGATCTCTTCCGAGCCGAGGGTACAGGGAACTCCTCGGAGATAGCACAGACTACATCGTGACCACTTTCTCTAGCCACCACAGTGTTGAGCTGTTCTCCAGGCCCAGTGCATTCATAGCATCCTAAGAGTTATACAGCACAGAATGAAGTCATTGTGCTGTACCAGCTCTTTGAAAAGAGCTATCCAAATCAATCCCACTCCCCTGCGCTCTCCCCATAGCCCTACACACTTGTCCTCCCTAAATAATTATCTACTTCTCTCTTAAACGTTGTTATCGAGTTGACTTCCACCACCTTTTCACGCAATGCATTCCAGATCCGAGCAACTCGCTGTGTGAAAACCTTTCTCCTCACCTCTCCTCTGCTTCTTTTAACAACTATTTTAAATAATCTGACATCCACTGTGCCCAGCTCACACCCACCTTCTGCGCCCAGCTCACACCCACTGTGCCCAGCTCACACTTACCCACTGTGCTGAGCTCACACTCACACCCACTGTGGCCAGCTACCACCCACTGCGTCCAGCTCACACCCACCCACTGCTCCCAGCTCACACCCACTGTGCCCAGCTCACACTCACCCACTGTGCCCAGCTAACACCACCCACTGTGCCCAGCTCACACCCACTGTGCCCATCACACTCACCCACTGTGCCCAGTTAGCACCCACCCACTGCGCCCAGCTCACACCCACCCACTGCTCCCAGCTCACACCCACTGTGCCCAGCTCACACTCGCCCATTGTGCCCAGTTAACACCCACCCACTGCGCCCAGCTCACACCCACCCACTGTGCCCAGCTAACACCACCCACTGCACCCAGCTCACACTCACCCACTGCTCCCAGCTCACACTCACCCACTGTGCCCAGCTAACACCACCCACTGCACCCAGCTCACACCCACCCACTGCTCTCAGCTCACACCCACTGTCACCAGCTCACACTCACCCACTGTGCCAGTTAACACCCACCCACTGCGCCCAGCTCACACCCACCCACTGCTCCCAGCTCACACCCACTGTGCCCAGCTCACACTTACCCACTGTGCCCAGCTAACACCATCCACTGGACCCAGCTCACACCCACTGTGCCCAGTTCACACCCACTGCGCCCAACTCACACCCACCCAATGTGCCCAGCTCACACCCACCGTGCCCAGCTCACACCCACCCACTGTGCCTAACTCACACCCACTGTGCCCACCTCACACCAACTGTGCCCAGCTCATACCCACCCACCATGCCCAGCTCACACCCACTGTGCCCAGCAAACACCCACTGTACCCAGCTCATACTTCCTCAGTGTACCCAGCTCACACCTACTGTGCCCAGGTCACATGTACTGTGCCCAGTTAACACCGCCCCATTGTACCCAGCTCACCCACTGTGCCCAGTTTACAGTTTAGGGGCTTTATTCTGTTTATTCTCTGTTTCTTTCAGACAATGTGAACATTTCGGTGAATGATTTCATCATCAAGGCGGCTGCTGTCACTCTGAGAGTAAGTGGCTCGGGGGTGGGGGCGGGCAGTCACACACAGGATGGGGTTCATCGCAGTGTCTCAGTCAGGGAACATGTTGCATCGGCCGCAGCAAGTCTCGTTCTAGTGCTGTGGACTGGAGATCCCAGAGTGAAGGGCAGTGTTTGGTGGGGTTTGCTCTCAGACAGGTATATTGTCAGGCCTGACGTTTTGTGTGGGCCTATTGTTTGCCACCCAGTAAAGCACATGAGAACGGTTTACAGGTCAGTGATTCACAGAGCAATGCGATTCACTGAACATTATGTGAGTTGAATGCTGGTTTTGTCTCCTGGATTCCGTTGTGACAAGCTGCTCCCCGAGAGGCTGATGTCCAGATGCCACAAACTATTATAAGGAGAATAATTAAGATCCCTTAGATTCAGGGAGCGAGATATTCTGCCGCTTTGTTCTTTTATAACAGCAGAAGCCTGAGAGCTGAGCCAGTTAGTGTTTGTCATCCTCACATTTGAGGATGCATGTTCTAGACGTCTCAAAGCGCTTCACAGAATATTCTGTAAAGTTAATTGACTGTATATTTTGTGGACGAAACGTGGTAGCCAATTGCACACAGCAGTGTCCCACAAATGGTCATGAGTTAGGGATTATTACTCCCGGAAAAGCGTTCTGCCAATTGACTAACAACCGGTTTCCTACTTATGGCTGGATAAACAGAGGTGTGTGGAGTAAGGAAACTTGCCCAATGCTTCACCCTATCTGGGAATCAAACCCAGCTTCTCTCGTTTGTGAGGCGAGTTGCTCTAACCACTAAGCTATAGGATTCCACATAATTAGTAGCAGCGTGTTCTGTGTGTATTTGCCACTGACAATTGTGCACAGCCACTGAACCTACAAAACGTTGCCACAAAGAAGCTGATGGAGTAGCAGAGGGCAAATTGCCACCATATTTAGCGATTCCATTTGTTCTGTATCTATGCTGTGATTTTGCCTCACAGCTGTGCCTTTTTTCTCATCCCTCTCCCCCCCCACTCCCCTCTTTTGTTAATGAAACAAATTGCAGCAAATGCCAGATGTTAACTGCACCTGGAGCGGTGATGGTCCACAGCTGCTGAGCTCCATCGATATTGCAGTCGCGGTGGCTACCGATCGAGGCCTGATTACGCCAATCGTGCGAGATGCTGCGTCCAAGGGCCTACAGGAGATTGCCAGCACCATCAAGGTAGGGTCATGACAACTTGTTCTGCTGGATAACTACCAAGATAGCATTGACGTCCATTCCAGGTTACAGTCTGACATGGTAAGTCGCCACAGCAAGATCAATATAGAATAATAATAATATTCCTTGCATTTGATATAATAATAATAATCCTTGCATTTGATATAGTGCTTTTCACGTCTTCAAAACATCTCAAAGCGCTTCACAGAATATGACTTAACTGTCTTCAAGATGTCTCAAAGCAAGAGGAGTGCTCTAACCACTAAGCTACAGGACTCCACGAGTTAAAGATGCAGTTATTGTAACCATCTGTTCTCGGATCAGAATTCCTGTACCAGATATGACACCAACATTAAATTCAATCTGGGATGACACAGAAAAAAACTCATTGGACACAATCCACATCCACTTTCTGTTTTTATCTCAGAATTCTAATGCTTCCGGCTGGGATGTGAATCAGTTCAGCTTCTCAGAATGAAGTTGGTGCTGAGTTGGTGGGGTCTTCGCTGAATTTTATGTTTCAGAGCAACGAGTCACAGCGGAGAGCTACAGTAATAATAATAACATACATTTTTTAGACAAAGCTTTTCATGTAAACTAAGCACTTCACAGAGTAAAATTGATTAGATGTAAAGAGAATGTTATATAGGCAAATACACCAACTAATTAATTCCAATTAATTAATCAATTCCAGGTAGGGCGAAACTTTGGGCAAGTTTCCTTACTCCACACAGAGCCTAATAATAATCCCTCCAAAACAAAAAACAATAATAAATTGGTCATTTTCAATCCACAACTGTTTATGAGATACTGCTGTGGGCAATTGGCTGCCGCGTTTCGCCCACAAATATACAGTTAATTCACTTTACAGCGTATTCTGTGAACCGCTTTGAGACGTCGAGAAGACGTGAAAAGCGCTATATCAAAGGCAAGGATTATTATTATTATTATTCACCATCAGGGACTCGCAAACAATGAGACAATCAGCCAATTCATTGTATTTGGGGTAAATTAAAGAGTGAGCACTGGTTGTGGACGGGAATGAGTGGGGCTGGCTGTGACGGGACATGGGGCACTGCTTGGGGCAGTGGACTAAAGAGCGACATTGCAGGGATTGCACTGTTCATTTCACACTACCCAAAGAGAACATAGGAACAGGTGTAAATTCCGCTATCAGATTATGGCTGATTTGTACCTCAATTCCGATTACCCGCCTTTGCCCCGTATCCCTGAAAACCTGACCTAACAAATATCTCTCCACCTCAGTTTTGAAAATGAGAATGGATCCAACATCCACAGCCTTTTGGGGGAGGGAGAGAGTTCCAGATTTTCTCAACCCTTTGGGTGATTCACCGCCTCCTGATCACACTCCTGATGATGCCTTGGAGGGGGAGAGAGAGACAGGAGAAAGCAGTGAGGAGATGTGGTGCTGGGATAATGAGGATGAGTGTACAGAGAGCGGCTAACGCAGCAATCCCTTATAAACATCTGACAATATTCTTCTGTGGAGACACTGTTGCTATGACAACAGCTACATTTGAGATCAAATGCGAGCATTGGCTTTTATTTATCGAGACTTTGCTGCTATTTTTAAGAACTGGTGTTTGTTGCAGTGAGTGACTGCGAGGCACTGATGGAGGCATCCTCGCAAAAGAAAGGATATTGCATGTTAAAGCCTTGCCCTGATTATAATATACAAGAATGATTATAATATACAAGAATGATACCAGGGACGAGGGACTACAATTATGTGGAGAGACTAGAGAGGCTGGGATTACTCTCCTTTTATATAATATAATAATCCTTGCATTTGATATAGTGCCTTATCACGTCTTCGAGACGTCCCAAAACGCTTCACAGGATACACTGTAACGTGAATTGACTACATTTTTGTGGGCAAAACCCCTAGACTAGAGAAGCTTGAGGGGATTTAGTAGCGGTGTTCAAAATTATGGGGGGTTTTTGATAGAGTAGATACGGAGGAACTGTTTCCTCGGGCGGGTGGGTCGTTAACTAGAGGGCACAGATTTAAGATAATTGGCCAAAAAAACAGGGGATACAAGGAGAATTTCTTTTAACTCAGCGAGTTGTTACAGTCTTGAGACGGGTCTTGAAGGAGCCAAGGGTAGAGTAGCAGAAGGCCTGCCCACCAATGGTGGGGCGGGTGAGGGGTGAGAGCGAAGCAGGCAGGAGCCCGCTGAGTGGAGGGAGTGGGCAGCTCAGTAGGGGGTTAGAAGATCGCAGGTGTCGGGTGGAGCAAGGCCATGGAGGGCTTTGAAAGTGATAAAGAAGTAAAATAAGCACGTAGAGGCGCCAATTGGTAAAAAAGCCACGTTTCATGCACTCGCAGCTCTAATCCCCTGATTAATGAGGGCATTGAATCATCACAGTCTGTACGTTCCCAGAGTCTAACCTCTTTGGTGAGTGATTTGAGTGAGTGGGTGTTTCTGAGAAGCTCTTGTTTGGTCCAGACTTGAAGTTGTGTTGGAGACAATCATGTCATGTCAATGTTCCTACCCAACAAATCATGAATCATATAAGTATGTCAGCCACAACTAACCTGATAATTTCACAGAAACTCACTTGCGGTAAGGATACTGATCCCAGCTCTAGTGCAGACATAGGTCCACACTGTATGGAATTACGTTTGTTGAATTGCACAATGTAAGGTTCGTGCGTTCCTGGTTGTTGACGTACTCTCTTATAAAACGTGGCCTTTTGCCGTTTGCCGCATCTTTCGGGTTTACTAAACCTCTTTATTTTGCCCCCAATGGCTGCTTTTCCCCCCATCAATGAGTCTGATCCGCTCCACTGGGGTCACTTGGTAGCTGAAAGATTGGTGGACAGGTCAGGACTAAATCTTGGCTTTCACAGGCGAGTGCATGTACGTCAGCAAATGTTTCACCAAGAAACATAGATGGTCCACTGTTTTAAAAAGCCTTGTATATTCACGCTGCAGATCCTCACACTCGTTTTCAAATCATGCCTTGACACTTCCCTATCTCTCCGACCTGCTTACCCTCCAACCCACTACCCGGTGCCTCCGCCATGTCCCTTGTTTCCTCTGTTCCACCATTGGTGGCTGCTTCATTCACTGCTCCCCGGAACTCTGGAACACTCTTCCTCTATCCCTCCGCTTACCTCTTCAATCTTCAGGTCACGCCTAAAGACCTTCCTTTTTGACCGTGTCTACGGGCATCTCCCCCGGGCTCGGCGGCATGATCCGCCACTGTCAAGCACTCTGGGACACTACCCTGCGAGAGTGGCGCTGTGTAAATCAGGTTGTTATTGTAGATATGGTACAATTCATCATCCCTTTTCATCCAGGGACAATTTTTCCTCCCCTTCGCTGGTTTTGATCATTGTTTTGTTTGCGGTTGATGATGTCCTCAGCTTTCCGTGTACCTTTGGTGCTTTGCCACCTGAAACAAAGCCAGTGTGGGATTAACAGTCTGATTCATCTGCACTTTCACTCATTTTCTTTCGCTTCCCCCTCCCTCGCTTGAATGTGTCTGTGTAAAGAAGATCTGAAACTTGCCAGTAGCTTGACAAATTAAAACTGGCTTTGACTCAAACACACCACAAACTCATTCTTGTTTTATTGGGCCCACCCTGTCTGCTTCCTGTTACAGTCTATGACAAATCTCTGATACAGTGAAGCTTCTTTAGTAATGTTTGTAGATGACAACGAGTTAGGGAATCAGAGGAAGTAACTAAGGTCTTACAGAGAACTCAATAAGGTGGGCAGATGGGCTGAGCAGAGGCAAATGAAGTCCCACACTGATAGATACAGGGAGCTGCACATTAGAGTAAGAATAGGAGCACATGTACTGTGTGAATGAGCTAGAATTTTCCTAAAGAATTATAAAATTATAAGAATTGTAAGACACCTAAGGGGGTCACATACCCTGTCAAAAGTATGGTTTCTTCTCCTGTATCAGATAAGCAGTCTCTCAGTAATCAGCCAGGGGTAGTCTTTCCAATACTGTGTGACTGGGTTTGTACACAGCGATAGAAGTCCCAGCGTTTAAGAGGCAGAGTGCGCACAAGTGCGTGTAAGCCTGGGGCCTGAGCAGCCATGCTGTCAAGCTAGTTTCTCCTTTGATGCCTGACACGCATGCCCACAGTGGTGAGTGAGGCAAAGGATTCAGAATGTAGATGGTTAGATTTTTGGTGGAAGCAATTAATAGTATTGCAGTTGGCCTCGGAGCCCCTTCCCCTCTCCTCCGGGTCTGAAGACAGTCATGTACATCACATTTTATATTTCATCAAGTTCATCACATCTAGGCTCGACTACACCAACTCCCTCTTGTCAGCCTTCCCAACTCTTCCCTCCACAAGCTGCAGATCATCCAGAACTCTGCAGCTCGTGCCCTCTCCCACACCAGGCTCCATGACCCGATGTCCCATCCCTCCCCATGGACTTGCCCTTTCCTACCTCTGTGACCTGCTGACCCCTGTCCGTTCCCTCCACTCAGCAGACTCTGGCCTGCTTCATGTCACCCGCCTGGCCTGCCCCACCATCAGCGGTCAGGCCTTCAACCTCTCTGCCCACACCCTTTGGACTTCCAAACTCCATCCCATAGTCCCTTTGCCTTACTCCCTCCCTTCAAGGCACATCTCAAAACCATCCTCTTCGACCGTGCCTTTGGCCACCCTCCCAACCTTCCCCCCCCCTCATCCCCCCACCCCCCACCCAGTGCTCGGGTCCAAATCCCTTACTATCCAGCGCCTTGGGACTTCCTCCTGATGTGAAATGCACTATGTAAATGTAATTTTGTATTGTATTGCAAATTCACCCAAATGAACAAGCTCCAACCATCAGCGTGGTACCAGATAAAACCGAGGTTGCCGGTCGGTGAGTGGCCTGTGGTGAGGGAGAGTGAGTGCATACTTTCGTTCTGCCTTGGGGCTCCAAGCCCTGCTTTTATAATTACAGTAAAGTCCTTGTGGGCAGGATGTTGGAGATAAACTTGAAAGCTTGTTTTTGTTGAGTTCTTGCCCATGGATGAAACCATTCATGACTTCACAGCACAAGTGCGTGTAAGCCTGGGGCCTGAGCAGCCATGCTGTCAAGCTTGTCGTGGAGTCAGCTTAGATGTGGTCACTAAGATAGACAAAATATTATTATTATTTTTTTGAAGCGATTATTACCCCCAGAAAAGCGATCTGCCAATCGACTAACAACCGGGTTCCTAGTTACTGCTGATAAACAGAGGTGTGTGGAGTAAGAAAACTTGCCCAATGTTTCGCCCTGCCCAGGAATCGAACCCGGGTCCTCTCGCTTGTGAGGCGAGTGGTCTACCACTGAGCTATAGAACTCCACAGCAGTTCCACAGCAGGAGCTAACAGCTGTCTTTCTTGTACCTTTCCAGGCCCTAGCAGAGAGAGCGAGAGCAGGGAAGCTGCTGCCTGAGGAATATCAGGGAGGATCCTTCAGGTATGTCTGTGTCATTTTTAATGAACAGTTGTCATATAACAAGAAGTTATATTTGAGAGGACGTCCCAAGGCGTTGGACAGTCATGGGTCAGGAGGGGTGGTGGACGGGAGGATAGGGGTAGCAAGGTGACCGAATACACAGTCGAAGAGGAGGTCTTGAGATGGGCCTTTGAAGGAAGCAAGAGAGGGGCTGAGACGAAGGGGACTGTGGCATGGAGCTTCAAAGAGAGGCTGAAGCAGAGAGGCTGAAGGCTTTACCTCAAATGGTGGGGCAGCCCGGCCGGCCGGGGGAATGCCACAATAATAATCCTTGCATTTGATATCGCACCTTGTCTCAATGAGCTTCATAGAATATATATAAAATGAATTGACTGTAGTTTGTGGGCAAAACATGGCAGTCAATTGTGCACAGCAGTGTCTCACAAACAGTCGTGGATTGAATGACCAATTTATTATTATTTTTGGGGGGAAGGAATTATTCCCCCCGGAAAAGCAATCCGCCAATCGACTAACAACCGGGTTCCTATTTATTGCTAGGTAAACAGAGGCGTGTGGAGTAAGGAAACTTGCCCAACATTTTGCCCTGCCCGGGAATCGAATCCGGGTCTGTCGCTTGCGAGGCGAGTGCTCCACTGAGCTACAAGACTCCACCAATGTAACGTGGGAAATATAACAGTGTTGATTTTTTCCTTTGAGCCTGGATATGATCTGCCCCCACCCCATCCCCCCCACCCCGGCACAGCCACCCCTCCCCTCACCCACCCCGGCACAACCAACGCTCCTGGAGAGCAGGGCTCTGACTGCAGTGTAAACGCAGTCTCTGAGCTCAGGAACTAAAGGTTATTCTTCAAGTCAAAAAAATAATAAAATAATATGTTCACTCAATCCGTGACTGTTTGTGGGATGCTGCTGTGCACAATTCGTTGCTGCGTTTTGTCCACAAAACATAGTCAATTCACTTTACACTATATTCTGTGAAGTGCTTTGAGACGTCTCGAAAACATGATAAGGCGCCATATCAAATGCAAGGATTATTATACTATATATATATTTTGCTGCTGTGTCAGCCTGCTCAGAGTCTGGTTGCGAGGGTAAGTTTGCCGGGCGTGCTTTGCCTGTGTTGGTGGTTGCCTGGGTGAAGAGCAGCTGCCCTCGTGCTGCTATAGAAATGGAGCAGGTGCTGCTGAGGGAAGATAAGCCGTCCCAGTGAGAGGAGGGTTGTGTTTAGCAGCGATTGTCAGTCTGCACCGTTATCCCATGTTTCTCAGTCAGTCTCACCCACAAACCCTTTTCTCCAATCTGCATTCGAATCAAAACTGACCCTGAGCCAATTGCGAAAATTCCAATAGCTCCCGACAGCCCGTTATGATTGAGCTCCTCTTCTTTCCGTTTGCTTTTCTAGTATCTCCAACTTGGGAATGTTTGGAATCCAGAGCTTCAGTGCGATCATTAACCCCCCTCAGGCCTGTATCCTGGCTATCGGACAGTCTCGCTGGGAACTGATGTTCTGTGAAGACGAAGCTGGCGAGGCCGGTATGTGCCGCAGGAACATGATGACGGTCACTCTCACCAGTGACAGCCGCCTGGTGGACGATCTACTCGCAGCTCAGTTCTTGGAGAACTTCAAGATGAACATGGAGAACCCCAGACGCTTGGCGTTGTTCTAAAGAGGCCTGGCCTGGCCAAGCCTCCGTCACCAGGGCTTTGTGAGACACGTGGGAAGGACTCAGAGATGGCCGTACTGTTTTATTGTTGTGGGGGGTAACAATACACACGCACCACACTACCACCACTGTACCTCACCTCCAGGCCTAATAACCTTTCTGTTGTTTATTTATTTATTTCCTTGGGTCGCCCGCCATCTTTATCATAGCCTCCACAAGAACAGCTTGTCTGCATGTGTCTGCTCAGGCAGGAAGGGATGGCCAGGGAATGTCAGACTCACTCACCAGTGTCGGTCTGCACATCACGTGTGGTAAAAAGGGTCAGACAGGCAGAGCACCAGACTTTTCTCTGCCTCTCTGGGTAACATTTCTCACTCAGGGGAGAACACTTCCCGTGTATTTGAGGCAATTGTAACACGGCCTCACAGTCAATTTCTTCCAGTCTGAGTGTGAGTCCCACCATCAGTGAGCAAATTGAATTCTCTGTACAGTGTGGTCTGCTGTATAATACCTGTGACACTTGCAATGTGTTTTTGGAATTATACACAGCTTATTATTATAGTCTCGTCTACCTTTTTGAAATCCTGCAGCGCAGAAGTTAGAGCACTCGCCTCCAAGTGAGAGGACCTGGGTTCAATCCCCGGGCAGGGCAAAACCTTATTAAATTGGCTGCCACCTTTCAACGTTCAACCAACCATTTCCGAGGGTTTTTCCCTCTCCGCTGCGGGGAAGCCCCTCAGCACAGATTGTGTTCCACAGGTTCTGGAGTATCTCACTTGAGACAACAACAACAACAAATTTACACAGTGCCTTCACATCGGGAGGACGTCCCAAGGCGACTGGACGGTCTGGGATTTGGACCCGAGCTGGTGGTTGGGATCAGGAGGGGTGGAGGGCAGGGAGGGTGGGGGTACGAGAGTGACCGAAGACCCGGTCGAAGAGGAGGATCTTGAGACGTGCCTCGAAAGAGGCAAGGGAGGCAGTGAGGCAAAGGGACTGTGGAATAGAGTTCCAGAGAATGGGGGCAGAGAGGCTGAAGGCCCGACCATTGCTGGTGGGTCGGGTAGGAGATTTGGAGCAGGCCCAGAGCCCGATGAGAGGAGGGAGCGGATGGGTTGAAATGGCTCGGTAAAGCTCAGTCGGAACTGAGTGGAATGCTGCTAAACATTCAAAGGAGTGTACGTGCATGTATAACTTGTTCATACACATCTTCGATCAAGATTGCCACCTTAAATTCCATCCAAACTCCCCTTTTAGCCGGTGAATAATTTAGCTGTGGTTTTTGTAGTCATTCAGTTTGAGTTTACAGGGAGTTTAGCCAGTTATCAGAATGTGATTTGCAGCTGATTTCCTGGCTGGAAATGAGCGCGACCAGCTTGGTGTCCAGGCATCACTTATGGGTCTACTGGAGTCTCTGTGACAAACCTATCACACCAGGGCCCCAGCGAAAAGGGGTTCTGTTTGCCCCGTTCGTTGAGATTGTGTGAAAGTCACTCACTCCAACTCTCTGCTATTGTAATGTTATACACACTGTAATTATGTGCAGCCAACGTGTCTCCCGGATCCTGGCTCCTGATTCATCCCCTCCCTATTTCTGAGCCGTGTAAACACATTCTGATGTTCAGCCATTTTGTCTTTGCTGTCAGATATCTCTCCCAGGATCTCCACATACAACCCCACCCCCCACCCCCACACACACACCCTCTCTGCAACACAACCAGTGTTGTCGGTCACTGCTCCTGCTCCTTCCCCATTTCCCCCGCCAAGTGCTTTGAAACGTGTTCTGACATTCATGTTGTTCTGCCCTGGAGGAGCTTAACCTCAGGGCAAAGGTTCTGTGAAGTTCAGTAAAATCTGCAGGATTTTACACAGGGAGTGTAAATAAAACTTCTCAAGTATTCTTAAGATCAGCACCTTCATCAGAGCCTGGTGACACCTGGACTCACTCACTGAACTTTGCCCAGCCGGGTGTCTGACACATGGAAACCCATCACCAAAGTGCTGAAGAGTCTCCAAACCAAACTCAGAATTCCATGCATCCCACCTCCACATGGGAATCCCAGAGATAGATTGTTGAGATGGAAGCGAGTTTCCTGGTGGGCAGCTCAGCTCAGCATGAACTGCGTGAGAGCATTGCCAGCGCCTTCCTGTCCGCAGCTCGGGAACACGTCCCTTCCAGCAACTCAATTCACCGGCAAAAAAAACTTTTTATAAAGTTTGTCACGACTCAAACTAGTCCGCAATAATAGCTGTCGAGTTAGTGACTGTTTTTGTAGACAAGCCACTCTGCCTGCGCACACTCTGGTTTGTTCAGCATTGGAAGTGGTGGAGATTAACCCCTTCCTTGTCGCGAGTGGCAGCTGAGGTCCTGCTCTGTGCTGTGACGCTCTGTGTGGGACTGGCTGCCAGGGCTGGCTGGGAATCGCTCAGCACTTTCTGCAGTTGATCAATGCAGGTGTCAGTGTGATCGCAGCATCAATAGCGGGTATTGTTCTTTGTTCTCAGGAACCTCCGCACTGTGCTGGCTCCAGGGCCCTCGCCCGGGCAGAGTCACTGCAAGGCAACTGTCTATCTCCTTGAGGCTGCGCTCAGTACTTACTGAACAAAAATGAGGGTAGAAACAAGTTGGTGCTGACAGCAACAGGTTTTATTGTGAGCAACTTGAAAACATAAAGCAATGAAACACAACCCAGAGATCTGATCTGATCTGATCTGCCTCGATAGCCAGGCAGAGAATAATTGAAGCTGAACTCTCACCACATAGTGGATTCCTGTAATGTGGTTAGCACGCTTATCTCGCAAGCGAGAGGACCCAGGTTTGATTCATTAGCGAGGAGAAACCTTGGGCAAGTTTCAAAACTCGACACGCCTCTATTAACCAGCAGAAACTAGTAATTAGTCGATTGGTAGATCGCTTTTCCAGAGTAATGTTTTTTCTGCCTTCGAAAGACTCAAAACAATAGATGAGGAAACAAAAAAACAGAAGTTGCTGGGAACACTCACTTGTGTTAGTAAACTTCTTTATTTGTCAATCCAAACTCTCAAAAATCCATTACTCTAAACTTTGACAAACTTTGACCCACACCCAGTGCAACACGCGCTCTGGTCTGGATAATAATAATGATCCTTGCACTTGATACAACGCGCTATCACATGCTTTAGACGTCGAGAAGACATGAAAAGCGCTATATCAAATGCAAGGATTATTATTATTGAGACGTCTCAAAGCGCTTCACAGAATATACTGTAAAGTGTGACCGTATACTGTATATTTTGATGACAAAATTTTGTGTGTAACTGCCTGAGGTTGAGTCGGTGATCTTGCTGAGAAAATTCTGAAGCTGTGAAAGTGGACTCTTCTCTGGTGCCATTGTGTTGTTCACTGAAACTCATAAACTCATAAACCGTGGGGGTAAAATGGCAAAAAAAAACTGTTTATTTTTCAATTGATCAGAGAGGAATTTCCAAGCAATCAGTTTGTCAGCTCCCACCCCCCCACCCCGGCCCCTCAGGGTCAGTGCTGGGACATACCATGTACTCCCTCACTCGCCCACCCACCCAAACACTCTCACCTCTGAGTCAGTAGGTTGTGGGTTCAAGCCCCACGTTGGGAGACAGTGTCCCACGACCATTGGAGAAGTCTCTGATGTGACAAGTCACTATATCAAATGCGAGGATTATTATTATAACATTGTGACCATGATTTGTACCCCCCCACCTCAGAGTCTTCAGGCTACTTCCACCCTGCCCCCCCCGCCCCGAAACTCTGGAACAATTTCCCTCTATCCCTCCGCTTTGCCCCTTCCTTCCCCATCTTCAGATCGTGCCTGATGACCGTCCTCTTCGTCGGTGTTTATGGTCTCCTTCCCCCACCCCCCACCCAGCGTGCTCCAATACCGCCAAGCGCTCTGCATGACGCTACCCTGCCTGAGAAGCGTTGTTGTTGTTGTCGTAAGAAGGCTGTGCCAAGGCCACCAGCTCACTGGGCAGAGCGAGCAGGGCGCAGGGGGGCACAGCAATAATTGTGCTAGGCAACAGAGACGTTCGTTCCCTTTGCAAGTTACCGTGAATCCAACTCTTGTTCATTGATATGAGAGAGAGGAAGCGTGAACAGCCCCTTGTTTATTGACTAGAAGCTATTGATCCCCTAGTTTCCTGCACCTCTGCTAACAAAGTCTTGTGATGAAGCACAGATCTGACTTTGTGACATTGCTGCTGTAAATATTACACAGAAGGGCCATAAAAATAAACACCACTTCCAGTATTTCCTCATTAAACAAACACTATTCACCACTGCCAGTCACATGGGCACAAAGCCAAGAGAGCTCCAGTCAAACCCGCCAATGATATCCACTTTCTTTCTCTCTCTCTCAGATCCCGCAGGTTGGAGGCACAGTGTTGTGCGCTCACTGAGAGGCTTCAGTGCTAATCAGAAATGAGTGACTTTCACACCATCTGCCTGGCTCCAATCCAAGCCAGGATGTCGGCAATGATGAGTGATAATACACCATGTCACCATCTCCCACTAGAGACAAGATACATTGAGTCACTCCACACACCCCCTCCCCCCCACCCCACACACACACCCAGGACTTGAAAGAAGTGTTTCGCCCGCTCGTCTCACCAGGAAAGGACCGGGACTTGATTCCCAGGTTTAGGGCGAAACCTTAGGCAAGTTTGCTTACTCTCCACACACACACACGACTGTTTAACCAGCAGTGAGTAGGAACCTGGTTGTTAGTGGTTTGGCGGATCGCTTTCCCAGGATAATAATCCCTCCAACAACCAAAAAAAATGGTCAGTGAATCCACGACTGTTTGTTGGACATTGCGGTGTGCAATTGTCTGCCACGCTTTGCCTACACTATACAATATAAATATATTTACAATATAAATATGCAATATAAGGATCTATATCACATGCAAAGTTGATATTGATGCACTGTTTTCACTTGTTGAGACCAACACAAGAGGGTGCAGATTGAAGACAGGAAATGACAGATCTAATAGGGGAGTTTGGGAGGAACTGCTTCCCGCCAGAAGCTGTCAGAAGCGGTGGTTCAAATAAAAAACATCAAAGTGTTAAAAGAGAAAACGTGTGGGCACATGAAGGAGAGGAGAATAGAGGAGAGAGGGAGGGATGGGGGCTGGGTGGAGTGTAGACATGGCTTGGACTAGTTCCCTCATGGTCTGTTTCCCTGCTGTTCTGTGTCATTTTATGTAAATACTAAGCTAATTAACCTTTGATTAGCTGCTGTGTGTGTGTGTGTGTGTGTGAATCAGGTGGCTTTGCTGTGTGCTGCCACACAGTTTTGGTGGAGTCCTGTAGCTTAGTAATTAGAGCATTCACCTCATTCCCTTTACAGAATATTCTGTGAAGGGCTTTTGAGACTCAAAGACATGATAAGGCGCTATATCAAATGCGAGTGTTATTATTCTTAATGGTAGTTGTGCTTCTCCCTGTCACTCACACCACTGACACAGCGTCCTGACCCTCACAGCGGGAGCCTGACCCGGGGAACCGAGCCGACAGATTCTGAAATTCAGGTTACAGCAGATCTCAGGCTCTCGCTCGGCCTCGGAAACAGTGTGTGAGTGTGTGACATAGACACCCCAGTGAGTGTGGCACAGACACCCCAGTGTGACTGTTTTGACACACGGTGTGTTACACACAGCGAGATTGTGTGGGTGATTTAATTGTTCTTATCGAGCCTCACTGTTCTTTATTCTCTTTCCCCTCTCTCCCCAACTGTTACTTTGCTCTCTGCACACACTCACTCCCTAACACACTCACTCCCTGACACACACTCACTCCCTGCACACACTCACTCCCTAACACACTCACTCCCTGACACACACTCACTCCCTGCACACTCGTTCCCTGTACACATTCACTCCCTGACACACACTCCCTGACACACTCACTCCCTGTACACTCTCGCTCCCTGCACACATTCACTCCCTGACACACTCACTCCCTGACACACACTCACTCCCTGCACACTCACTCCCTGACACACTCACTCCCTGACACACTCGCTCCCTGACACACTCGCTCCCTGCACACTCGCTCCCTGTACACACTCACTTCCTGTACACACTCACTCCCTGCACACACTCACTCCCTGTACACTCTCGCTCCCTGCACACATTCACTCCCTGACACACTCACTCCCTGCACACACTCGCTCCCTGTACACACTTGCTCCCTGTACACACTCACTTCCTGTACACACTCACTCCCTGCACACACTCACTCCCTGTACACACTCGCTCGCTTCACACACCGACTCACTGCACACACTCGCTCCCTGTACACACTCACTCCCTGCACACACTCCCTGCACACACTCACTCCCTGCACACACTCACTTCCTGGTTTCTTTCTAAACAGTTAAACAGTCAGTGGACTAGTCCGGGGTTCAGCCGTCATCAGCAGTGCCCTGGAATACTATTTCGACCATCTGTTTCCTCAACCTCACCCCCACCCCTCTCCTTACCTCACGTCTCCACCTCCTCACCCCTCTACTCACAGTCATCATAAACCTCTCCCTGTCCACTGGTGCTGTTCCCACCCCATTAAAAACCACTGTAATAACTCCTATCCTTAAAAAACCTTCCCTGGACCCATCTCTACTCCCTAACTACTGCCCCACCTCCAACCTCTCCCCTTCCTCTCCAAGGTCTTGGAATGAGTTGTTGCTTCTCAGCTTCACTCCTTCCTCTCCCGTCACTACCTTCTCGAACCCCTCCAATCGGGTTTCCGTGCCGCCCACAGCACAGAAACAGCTCCGTCCGGTCAAAGTGACAAATGACATTCTGTCCATCTGCGACCAGGGCTCCCTCTGCCTACTCGTCCTCCTTAACCTCTCTGCTTCCTTCAGCACTGTCAACCACTCTATCCTCCTCCACCGCCTCTCCTCCCACCTCAACCTTCATGGTTCTGTCCTAAACACAAAATGCTGCAGATGCTGGAAATCTGAAACAAAAACAGAGAGAGCTGGAAAAACTCATCAGGTCAGGCAGCATCTATGGAGAAAGGAAAGTGAGTCAATGTTTCGGGTTCATGACCCTTCGTCAGAACTCAGAAGGCGTTCAGACGAAAGGTCATGGATCCGAAATGTTGACTCACATTCTTTTCTCCATAGATGCTGCCTGACCTGCTGAGTTTTCCCAGCTCTCTGTTTTTGGTTCTGTCCTTGACTGGTTCAGCTTGTACCTCTCACACCACCATGTCCACAAACGGCTTCTCCTCGAGCCCCTGCAGCATCTCGTGCAGCGTTCCTCAGGGTTCTGTCCTTGTTCCCCTCCTCTTCAACATCTATATCATCTATACGCGCCCTCTTGGTGACATCATCCACAGACATGGGGTCAAATTCCACATGTATGCAGATGACACCCAACTCTACCTCTCCACCTCCACCCTCGACTCCAGGACCACTGCTGTCCTGACAGAATGTCTGTCAGACATCAAGTCCTGGATGAGAGCAAACTTCCTTCAGTTGAACTCAACAAGACCGAGGTCCTCCTGTTTGGCTCCCGTCAGTGCCTCCTCACCTCAGGCGCTGACAGCATCACCATCCAAGGATACACACTCCACCTCACTAGAACCTTGGTGTCTTGTTTGACCCTTAACTATCCTTCCTACCCCAGATCTGCGCCATGACCCGTTCTGCCTTCCCCACCTTCGCAAAATTGCCTGGCTCCGTCACTGTCTCACACCGCAGGCCCTCAAGACCCTCATACACATTTTCATTACATCGAGGCTTGACTATAGAAACTCCCTGCTTGTCGGCCTCCCCAACTCTCCCCTCCACAGGCAGCAGATCATCCAGAACTCTGCAGACTGTATCCACCAGGCTCCGTGATCCTATCACCCTCAACCTTGCGCGACTCCACTGGCTTCCCTTCACTCAGAAGATACTGTTGAAATCCTAGTCCTCACTTTCAAAACCCTCCATGGCCTTGCTCCCCCCTACTTCTGCGACCTCCTAACCCTCTACCATCCTGCTCGCTTCCTTAGTTCAGCAGGCTCTGGCCTGCTTCACATTCCCCACCTCACTCGCCCCACTATTGGTGGGTGGACCTTCTGTCACTCTGCCCTATCATCTGAAACTCCATCCCACAGTTCCTCCGCCTCGCCCAATCCCTTGCCTCCTTCAAGACCCATCTCAAGACCCTCCTCTTCATCTGTGCTTTCGATCTCCCTGCTTCCCCACCTGCCCTTCACCGTCTCCAACCCCAACCCCCATCTTGGGTTTGAAAATCTGTCTGTCCAGAAACTTGGGACGTCCTCCCAACGAGATTGGCGCTATACAACTGTAATTTTGTTGTTGTTGGAGATAGTACGTGCTATGTTGTCTTGCCATGATGGCGCTTATATAAGCACAGTTACCCCTGGTCTCATCACTCGGGCTGAGTTGGGTGGGGTGAGGTGTGAAAACAAGTTTTAACACCTCTCTGCTTAGTTTATCATTAGAAAGATGTTCAAATCGAGATTAGCTGTTCAACACAAGTTTCTTCAACAACAAACATTGCTGATTGGTTAGAGCACTCGCCTCGCAAGCGAGAGACCTAGGTGCCATTCCTTGCAGGGCGAAACCTTGTGCAAGTTTCCTTACTCAACCCACCTGATAATAATCCCTCAAGAAAAAATATTAAAATTGGTCACTTCAATCCACGGCTGTTTGTGGGACGCTGCTGTGTGCAATTGGCTGCTTCGTTTCGCCCACAAACATATAGTCAATTCACTCTACAGTATATTCCGTGAGGTGTAGAGTGCATCCAGGAAAGGTATGGAGTCACTGACAGGAGCCAATCAGGAGGACCTCGGTCTTGTGGATGTTCAACTGCAGGAAGTTTGCTCTCTCCAGGACTTGATGTCTGACAGACATTCTGTCAGGACAGCAGTGGGTTCTGGAGTCGAGGGTGGAGGCGGGGAGATAAGAGTTGGGTGACATCCACATACACATGGAAGTTGACCCCATGTCTGCGGATGGTAATAATATAATAATCCTTGCATTTTGAGATAGCGCTTTTCACATCTTCCAGGTGTCTCAAAGTGTTTTACAGAATATACTGTAAAGTGAATAGACTTTATGTCACCAAGAGGGAGCGTGTAGATGTTGAGAAGGAGGGGACTAACTGTGACTCCATCCCAGTCCGCCCGCCCACCGCTGATGTCTCTTGACCTGCCCTTTCCAAAGCAACAACAACGACTTGTGTTTATATAGCAGACTCCATGCGTGGCAGTGTCTCGGGCTGGTAGCTGGCAGAGACCGTGCAGGGCATCCCAGGCCTGAGCTCAGTAAACTGTGCAGTGACTAATTGCTGAGATCCTCTCAAGCTGAGGGATTAGGAAGAGCCTGTGTTGGGGGGTGTACCTCCTCGGGGGGCTGTGTGTGTGGGGGGATGTTCCCCCTCAGGGAGCTATGTATGTGGGGCAATGCTCCCTTTCAGGGGGCTGTGTGGGGCAATGGTCCCCCTCGGTGTGCTGTGTGTGTGGGGGAATGTTCCTCCTCGGGGGGTTGCGCGATGGGGGAATGCTTCCCTTCGGGGAGTTGTGTTTGGGGGGATTTTCCCCTCAGGGGGCTGCGTGTGAGGGGATGTTCCATGCTATCAGATCATGTACCTCAACTCCAATTACCCGCCTTTGCCCCGTATCCCCTGATAACTTGACCTCACAAATATCCCTCCACCTCAGTCTTGAAGATGTGAATGGATCCAACATCCACAGCCTTTTGGGGGAGGGAGAGAGTTCCAGATTTACACTCGGCTTTGGGTGATGAACTGCCTCCTGATTTCTCCTGAATGGCCGGGCGCTAATGTTAAGATGATGCCCCTTGTGCTGGATTCCCCACCAGAGGAAACAGTTTCTCTGTAGAGACCCTATCGAACCCTTTATCATTTTAAACACCTCAGTCAGATCACAACCTCCTGAACTCAAGGGATTACAGACCAGGTTTAATTTGAGCCCTGGTATATTTACATTTTTAAAATAATATGGTCTCTCAATCCACGAATGTTTGTGGGACACTGCCATGCACAACGTGGGGTATCTGTCCTCAGTTGCCCATATGTCCTGACCATGTTTTTCTCACACTTTTTGACTTGTTACATTTGTGATTACTTCCTATAACTTTTGTTCTCCCCGGAGTATTTATGTTATCTTTACCACTCTTGACCTCTTCTCCTGTTTTTTTTCTTATCTTTAGTTATTTCCTGCTGTTATTTCCAGCCAAACCCATACCTTCTTTATTAGTTTAAAGTGCTTTCTACAGTCCTATTTACTCTGTCTCTAACCTGTGCTGTTGCTGACCTGGGAGTGTGAACGGACAGTGTAAAGGGTGTTTTGCTGTGTCTCTAACCCTGATCTAGGGATGTAGACTTCTCATTTTGAGGTCAGTTTTGGTTCCCTATAGTGAAAGTGTTGGAGTTCCGTGGAGTGTGAGGAAGTTTCTGCTTCTTTCAATCATTTATAAACTGCGTCTTCTGATGTGAAATGTGCTGTTATTCTGGGGTCGGGTAAGGTTTAGTAAGGTGTGAGCATAGCTGTATTGCACGCTCGCTCACTCACTCCTGTGCTGTCTGGAAGTTAGTCAGTGGCATAGAGGTTGAACTCAGTGTGAAGGCTTTTGGCTTCTGTTGTATTGAAGTCATTGAGAGAGAGAAAGAGAGAGAGAGAGAGAGGGTGTGAGTAACAGTCGAGAATCCTGCGTCACTCCCACTGCCCTCCCCTCCCCACACATTCAATCAGAATAAAAAACACTTAAAAAGAAATCACTAAGAGACACACCAGAAAGTCTTTCCTTTCAAAAAAAATCCTACACGGCCAACGGGCTGTGCTCATAGCTAAACACACACGGGCTCAGAGAGCCAGCTTACCGGGTGGCTGGAGTTAACGGCAGACACACAGACACGCAGACAGAGAGGCAGCCAGCGGGGATATGGCTCAAGGTTTGGTGCTGGTGACTTTGGGGCTGTCGATGTTGGGAGCTTCCTCCGGCTCAACAGGTAAGACTTCATTCAACAAATATCTGTGTCAGACTAACACACACAGAGAGTTAGCCTGTTTCACACTCAGTTTCAGCCTGTTACACACACAGCATCAACCTGTTACACACAGAATCAGCCTGTCACACACACAGTCAACTTGTTACACATACAATCAGCCTGTCACACACACAGTCAGCCTGTTATACACACAGTATCAGACTGTCACATTGTGGAGCGTTTATACAGTGTATAACTTGAAGCTGGGATGTGCAGGTGCTGTTAGTTGGCTGTGTGGCTGGTGCTGTCTCTCCCGTCCTGTCTCAGATCTCAGATGAGAAGTGATGTGTATTGAGTGGGAGACCCGGACTCCGACCGAGGTGCTCAGGTTGAGATACCAAATCCATCAGCAGTCAGCAGACCCAGAGGGGGTCAGATGGACTTCAGACTGTGCTTCTCCTGGGTGAAAAGGAGAGAGAGAGAGAAAGTGAGAGAGTGCAACAGGAGAGAGACAGTGAGTGAGCGACAGCTGGAGAGTCCTTCAGCTCTCTTGAGATGGCGCCCACGTTTCGCCACAAAATACATAGTCACTGCACTCTACAGTACATTGTGCGCTTTGAGACGTCCTGAAGACATGATAAGGCACTATATCAAATGCGAAGATTATTATTATTACTATTGTTATTATTACGTCTCATCGTGAGGTTAAAGCATGTGGACATCCAGTGGAGCCAACAAACCCCTACTCTGCCAAACCTCCTTCCCCACATCCCTTTTCACCCCCACGCCCCCAGAAGTGAGAGGCTGATGGTCCGCTGGGTGCAATGGGGTGGGGTGGGGGTCCACACACCATAACCTCACAATGAGACGTCTTGACAGAAGTGAAGGCTTGACTCCGAGGGTGGGAGGCCGACACTCTGCCCCTGACAACCGTCCAGCGCTACCCACAGACGAGAGAGGAAGCGCTCTTTACACATTCACTTCACTTCTCCAAGCTCCGAGTGCGATTCGTTATTAACAACCTAACCCTGAGCCCCCTTCCCCTCAGCTCCAACCCTGACCTGGGAGTGTGGATGGACAGTGTAGAGGGAGCTTTACTGTGTCTCTAACCCTGACCTGGGAGTGTGGACGCACAGTATAGAGGGAGCTTTACTGCTTCCCAGCTTCGCTCCTTCCTCTCCCACCATTCCCTTCACAAACCCCTCCAATAGGGTTTTCCGTGCCGCCCACAGCACAGAAACAGCCCTGGTCAAAGTGACAAATTTCATTCTGTCCATCTGCGACCAGGGCTCCCTCTGCCTTCTCATCCTCCTTGACCTCTCTGCTGCCTTTGATACCGTCAACCATTCTATCCTCCTCCTCCGCCTCTCTTCTCACCTAACCTTCATGATTCTGTCCTTGACTGGGTCAGACTCTACTTCTCACGCCATCTCCATTTCATCTCCACAAACAGTTTCTCCTCTCGTCCCCTCACCGTCTTGTGTGGCGTTCCTCAGGGCTCTTTCTTGGTCCCCTCCTCTTCAACACCTATATGATCCTTCTTGGTAGCATCATCTCCAGATATGGGGTCAACTTCCACATGTATGCAGATGACACCCAACTGTATCTCTGCCTCCACCCTCGACTCCAGGAGGCCCTCATGATTGGCTCCCGTCAGCGCCTCCACACCTCAGGCACTGACAACATCACCATCCATGGTTGCACACTCCACCTCACTGAGCCAGTCTGGAACCTTGGCATCTTGTTTGACCCTCAACTGTGCTTTCTACCCCACATCCCAAATTCTGGTCCTTACCTTCAAAGCCTAGCAAACCCTATCTTTGCAACCTCCTAACTTCCTACCAACCTGCCCACTCCCTCTGCTCAGCAGGCTCTGGCCTGCTTTACGTCCCCCCACGTCGCCCGTTTCACCGTTGGTGGACGGACCTTCAGCCACTCTGCCCCCACCCTCTGAAACTTCATCCCGCAGTCCTTCTGCCCTGCCGCTCTCTTGCCTCCTTCAAGACCTATTTCAAGACCCTCCTCTTCAACTGTATCTTCAGTAAACCTCCTTCCCCCTACCCTCCACCCTCCGCAATCCCGACCCCCAGCTTCAGTCTGAAAAACCGACTGTCCAGGACCTTGGGACGATCTCTCGATGTGAAAGGCTCTATACACATATAATTTTGTTGTTGTTGGACTGTGTTTCTAACCCTGACCTGGGAGTGTGGACGGACAGTGTAGAGGGAGATTCACTCTGTCTCTATCCCTGACCCGGGAGTCTGGACGAACAGTATAGAGAGAGCTTTACTATGCTCGGATGTGTTTTGTTCGCTCACTGCTGATGCTGTGCAGGTGTTTTGTATCTCTAAAATCTACCATTTCCAAGACCTACCACTCAGCCCTCGCCTCAGCTAAATGGTCCTTCTACTCCAACATCAACCTGGCCAAGGACACTAACTCCCTGCTTGTTGGCCTTCTTAACTCTTTCTCCACAAGCTACAGATCATGCAGAACTCAGCAGCCCCATCACCCCCCACCCTCGCCCAGCTCCACTGACTCCCCATCCCCCAGAGTTCAAAATCCTCGTCCTTGCCTTCAACGCCCTTCACGGCCTTGCTCCTCCCTATCTCTGTGACTTATTAACACTTCACCGACATGTCCGTGCTTCCACTCGAAGGACTCCGACCTGCTCCATTTCCCCAGCCTGCCTGGCCCACCATAATGGTCAGGCCTTCAGCCTCTCTGCCCTCACCCTCAGAAACGCCGTCCTGGAATCCCTCCACCTCGCTCCCTTCCCTTGCCCACTTCAAGGCCCGTTACAAGGCTTTCTTTGCTGACTGCGCCTTCGGTCACCCTCCTACCTTTACCCTCCCTGCCCTCCACCTCTCCTGATCCCAACCCCCAGCTCAAGTCCAAATCCCTGACTGTCCAGCGCCTTGGGACGTCCTCCCGACGCTATATAAATTCAATGTTGTTGTCTCTGTCTCCAGAAGTGCCGAGCAGGTGTCAGCATGGTGGGGTCTCACACCAGGACAGGGGAGCACGATATCAGTTGAGCCTGGCGGAGGCGGTCACTCTGTGTGACTCACTGGGGAGCTCGCTGGCCAACCTGGGGCAGGTGCAGGCCGCTCAGCGAGCCGGCTTCCAGACCTGCAGGTACACAGCACAGACACTCACACACACACTCAGACAAACACACACACAGCGCACACAGACACTCACACGGACAGAAACACTCACTCACACAGACACAGACACTCTCACACACACTCACACAGACATCCTCTGTGTGATGGGAAGTCAGTGGAGTCGAGCAACACAGACGCTCAACACAGAGAACCAGAAACACACACACACACACAGACCCTCACACAGCCAGAGAGGGACACATCGACAGCACTCACACAGAGAGCCAGAGATGCACAGAGGGAGACACAGCGCTCACAGAGAGATAACACTCATACAGAGACATCATCCACATACAGAGATGCTCACCCACTCTCACGCACACATACACTCACGCTTACACTCTTAAAATTGTTAGTTGATTGGCGGATTGCTTTCTGGGGGTAATAATCCCTCAAAAAAAAATAATAATAATTTGGACAATAAATCCACGACTGTTTGTGGGACACTGCTGTGTGCAATTGGCTGCCATGTTTTGTCCACAAAATACGGTTACTACACTTTACAATGTATTTTGTGAAGCGTTTTGAGACGTCTCGAAGACGTGATAAGGTGCAAGGATTATTATTGTTTTTACACGCTCACACACACTCACACACATGCTTCCCTTGTTTCATTGCCAGGTATGGTTGGATTCAGGACGGTTTGGTTGCCATTTCCCGAGTGACGCCTCACGCCAATTGTGCAAACAATTTAACCGGCGTCTACACCTCGGCCCGCGATTCCTCTCAGAAGTTTGACGCTCTTTGCTTCAATTACACAGGTATCACGGTCAATGGAGTTTAACCAGCTAACACCGCATAGCTTACCATTGTCTGGCCAGCTTTCCCGCTGCTTGTCCAGCTAGGACCACCCGATTCGTTAGGGCTTTGGCTGAAGGATTAACAGGAGCTGAGGGTGAGGATGCCCTGCCCCCAGTGACTGGTCTGCCATTCCAGGTCCTGCCGTTGAGCCAGGCTGGGCTGTGCTGTCATCTGCAGTGAGTGCCCTGGAATACTGCAGACCTCTCTGGCTTGGGAATCGGACTAGAGACACTGCCACAGAAGGCTGGCTCGATTCCAACATCCCATTGACAAACATGTCACCTTGGAGCCAATCCAGCCCTGAGGAGACCCCACTTACCTCCCCCAAGGAGGTACCTCCCCACTACTGCCTTTTCGCCCATGAAATCCACTTTCAATCCACTTTACAGTGTGTCCTGTGAAGCGCTTTGAGACATCTCTCTGGTGTGATGAGACGCTACATGAAATGCAAAGATTGTCGTTGTTACTTAGCCCCTCGCTCTGGCTTGGCTGATATCATCGTTTGTTGGCTGACCATGTTTTGTTATTTTTACAAGTTTGTGATTCTGGGAATCAGCCCACCTCATCCCCACCGGATAATGCAAGGAAGCCCACACGCCCGTCCAGCACAAGTGAAGCCCCCCAGACCTCCGTGCATGTCGGAGGTGTCAGTCTGCCTCCCACCACAGGTAACTGGAATTCTTTCTCCATCACTCAGCCCTCTGTGGGCACTCCCTGACTCAGTGCCAAGCTTGAGATAATAAGGACAAGTTACATTTGCACAGCGCCTTTTACGTTGGGAGGGCATTCCAAGATGCTGGACAGTCAGGGATTTGGAGCTGGGGATCGGGATCAGGATGGTTGGAGGGCAGGGAGGGTGGGGGTAGGAGACAGAAGACACGGTCGAAGAGGAAGGTCTTGAGACGGGCCTTGAAGGAGTCAAAAAGGGAGGGAGTGGGGGGAGCAGAGGCAGAGGTATTCCAGGAAGAAGGCTCCAGAGGGTGGGGGCAGAGAGGCTGAAGGCCCGATCGCTGTTGGTGTGGCCGGCTGTGTGGGGGTCATGAAGCAGGCAGGATCGGAGTAAGCTGCAGATATGGAGTTAGCAGGTCACAGAGGCAGGGAAGAGCAACGCTGTGGAAGGCTTTGAAAGAGTCAAACCTTCACTGAGAAAAACATTGCACTAACACAGCTAATGTTACTGTTAATACTGAGCTTCAGTAACATCATTGTCCACTCTCAATGGACCTGCTCGGAGAGCAAGCAGAGCTCTGCACTACTGCCTGAAAGTGAGAGACTGGCAATGACAATTGCCAGTCAATAAGATGTCAATCATAGGAACACAGAAGGAATAGGAGTAGGCCATTCAGGCCCTTGAGCCTGTTCCGCCATTCTATCAGATCATGGCTAATCTGTACATCAACTTCAATTACCCGTCCTTGCCCTGTGTCCAAATCCCTGACTGTCCAGTGCCTTGGGACGTCCTCCCAACGTGAAAGGTGCTATACAAACGTAATTTTATATTGTATCCCTTGATACCCTGACATAACAAACATCTATCCACCTCAGTCTGGAAAATCGGAATTAATTCAGTACCACAGCCTTTTTGGGGGAGGGAGAGAGTTCCAGATTTCTACTTCTCTTTTGGTGATAAACTACCTCCTGATTTCATTCCTGAATGGTCAGGTTCTGATTTTAAGATAATGTTGAGCTGTGGTTATTCTGGTGTAATTGAGATCCATTTATTGAATCTGAATCAATAGAATTGTTCATAAGAGAATTGGACAAAGTGCTGGGCAGCAATAACACCAGAGGGATGTGGGGAAGAAAGATGGAGTGCGATTAACCAACAGGGTGGTTTGGATAGGTATCGGTGGCTCACTACAGTACTGGACATGTCCATGTAGTGATTCTCCTTATTGTGGAGTCCTGCAGCGTAGTGGTTAGAGTGCTCGCCTCACAAGTAAGAGGACTCCGGGCGAGACAAAGCCTTAGGCAAGTGTCCTCACTCCACACGCTTCTGTTTACTAACAATAACGGGTTGTTAGTGGGTTGGCGGATCGCTTTTTCGGGGGCAATAATCCCTCCAAAAAAAAAGTGGTCATTCAATCCACAATTGTTTGTGGGACACAGCTGTGTGCAACTGGCTGCTACGTTTCACCAACAAATTCACAGTCACTACACTTTACGATAAGTGCTTTGTGACTTCTCAATGATGTGATAAGGCTCTATATCGAATGCAAGTATTATTATTATTATGATGATGATGTCCACGTAACTCTTCTCCTTATTATTTTTAGGTACAGAGAGTTGGGTGACCAACCATATGGCCTCGCTCCCCGCTCACACAGTGAGAGGCCACAGTGAGATGTCAGCCCCCACAACCTGGGTCACAGTGGAGAGTAGATCAGGGCAGGGCAGTGGGTCAGGGCAGGGCAGTGGGTCAGGGCAGGGCAGTGGGTCAGGGCAGGGAAGTGGGTTGACAACAGAAGATGTCCTGAGATTGCTAAGCACAAAACAGCCCAGCCCCGAGGCCACGCCTAGACAGGAGGCCACACCCTCCCATGGGGCCACGCTCAGCCCGGGAGCCACACCCAGCCCCAAGGCCACACTGGGGCCCTTTCTGGATGCCAGCACTGATGGTGGAGGAACAGCTGGCGGCTGGCAAACCACAATGGGCGGCCGGACTGGTTTGGGAACAGAGAGTCATCCTAGACACGAGTGGACTCGGCAGAGTGTGGGGCATCAGTGGAGTCTGTACACCAAGGCTTTCAGTTCCTCTCCCACCATCACCCGGACCCCCAGCCACACCGGGGCCCCCACCCTCACCGAGGCCCCCTCCCTCACCGGGGCCCCCACCCTTACCAAGGCCTCCACTCTCACCAGGGCCTCCACCCTTACTGAGGCCCCCACCCTACCCGGGGTCCCCACCATCACTGGGGCCCCCAACCTCACCGAGGCCCACACCCTCTCCGGGACCCCTACCCTCACCGGGGCTCCTTCCCTCATCGGGATCTCCACCCTCACCGAGGCCTCCACCCTCACTGAGATCCTTACCGGGGCCCCCACCCTAACTGGGGCCCCTACCCTCACCAAGGCCTCCAACTTCACCGGGGCCCCCACCCTCACCAGGGCCTCCACCCTAACCGGGACCCCCACCCTCACCGTGGCCTCCAACCTCACCGGGGCCCCCACCCTCACCTGGGCCCCCACCCTCACTGAGGCCCCCACCCTCACCGAGGCCTCCACCCTCACTGAGATCCTCACCGGGGCCACCACCATCACTGGGGCCCCTACCCTCACTGGGACCCCCACCAACACAGTGAGGCCGCTGAGTACCTCACGCTCGGGCTCAGTGCCACCTCAGATCGATACCAGCGCCGGCCGCCGGGAGCCAATGGCCACCGGGACCGCGGTGACGGAGGCCACAGCCGATGCCAGCAATCGACCAGTGTGGGTCAAGGGTTGGAATGGTGAGTGTCAGCATCGGTAACGATCACACAGCGTAGAATGAATAATGATTATAATAATTATAATGGTGTCAGTGAATCGTACAGCACAGAATGAGAGCCTCTGCTCCAATGTACCTGAGCTCTTTACACTGTGTCTTTGAGCTCTGGCTCGCAACGCTGGCAATTAACTTCACTCAGTAGCGATTAATGTGTTAGCATCTGCTCAGAGGGTTACTGACCGAGGTCGTGTCAGCGTCAGAGACAGTGACGGTGAGTGAGCCAGCTTAGTGGCTCGAGCACTCACTTCGCAAGTGAGAGGACCTAAGTACGAATCCCGGACAGGGCAAAACCTTGGGCAAGTTTCCTTACTCCACAACCCTCTGTTGACCTGGCAGTAATTAGGAACCGTTTTTTTAGTCGATTGGCAAATCGCTTTCTGGGCGTAATGATCCCTTATAAAAAGGGTCTCCCAGTCAATAGGCTGCTGAGATTCGCCCACAAAATACGCAGCCCCTCCAATTTACAGTATATCCTGTGAAGCATTTTGAGACATCTCAACAACGTGATGTCAAATGCAACAATTATTATTACAACAACAGCTTGCACTTATACAGCGCCCTCCAGGCAGGGTAGCGTCTCAGAACGCTTACCAGTGGTGGAGTCTGACTCCGAACCCGGGATGGGGGGAGCTGACCGTCGAAAAGGAAGGTTTTCGGGCGGGACGTGATGAAGGGGAGAAAGGGGGCAAGGTGGATCGATTGAGTGAGAGTGATCCAGAGTTTCGGGGCGTAGTGGCTGAATGCGTGACTCCAATGGTGGAGCAGAGGGTGCGAGGGACAAGCAGGAGGCTGGTGCCAACAATATTATTATTATTATAAGCCTGGAGAGCCCCAGCGTACCTCCCTGCTCTGTATGATACTGTGCAAGCAGCCTCTCTCTAACAGCCAGCGAGCACTCGAGCGCTGCCGCTGGCTGAGAAATCAACCCCCAAGATTCGGACACTTTTTGGACTGTTTCTAACCCACCCCCTCCGCCCATCTGCTTCTCGCTGCCTCCATCTAGTGGCTAAACTCAGTATCAACAAGCTGTGTTCCACCAGTTGATAATAATAATCGTTGCATTTGATGTTGCGCCTTATCACGCCTTTGAGACGCCTTAAAGCGCTTTACCGAATATAAAGTGAATTGAACTGTATATTCTGTGGGCAAAACGTGGCAGCCAAGTGCGCACAGCAGTGTCCCACAAACAGTCGTGGATTGAGTGACCAATTTATTTTAAGGGATTAGCCCAAGAAACGTGATCCACATCTCGCCTAACAAGTGGGCTCCTACTTATTGCTAGGTAGACAGAGGCGTGTGGAGTAAGGGAACTTTTCGGTCTGCGGGAATCAAACCCACAGCACAGAAACAGCTCTGGTCAAAGTGACAAATAATATTCTGTACATCTGTGACCAGGGCTCCCTCTGCCTCCTCATCCTCCTTGACCTCTCTGCTGCCTTCAACACCGGTGACCACTCTATCCTCATCCTCCACCTCTCCCCTCACTTCAACCTTCATGGTTCTGTCCTTGACTGGTTCAGATCGTACCTCTCACACCGTCTCCACAAATGGTTTCTCCTCTCGCCCCTGTACCATCTTGTGCAGCGTTCCTCAGGGCTCTTCAATATCCATATGCTCCCTCTTGGTGACATCATCCGCAGACACGGGGTCAACTTCCACATATATGCGGATGACACCCAACTCTACCTCTCCGCCTCCACCCTCGACTCCAGACCCAGTGCTGTCCTGACAGAATGTCTGTCAGACATCAAGTCCTGGATGAGAGCTAACTTTCTATAGCTGAACGTCAAAAAGACCGAGGCTCTGACAACATCACCATCCAAGGATGCACATTCCATCTCACTAAACCTGTCCGGAACCTTAGCACCTTGTTTGACCCTCGACTATCCTTTCTGCCCCACATCCATACCATGACCCGCTCTGCCTTCCCTCACCTCCCAAACATCGCCCAGCTCCGCCTGACTCCACTGGCTTCCCATCACACAGAGTATAGAGTTCAAGATCCTGGTCCACACCTTCAAAGCTCTCCATGGTCTTGCTCCCTCCTAACTCTGCGACCTCCTAACCTGCTACTATCTTGCTCGCTCCTTCCACTGAACGGGCTCCAGCTGCTTTATGTCCCCCGCCTCACCAGCCCCACCATTAGTGAGCAGGCCTTCTGCCACTCTGCCCTCACCCTCTGGAACTCCATCCCGTAGTCCCTCTGCCTCACCCCCTCCCTTGCCTCCTTCAAGACCCATCTCAAGACCTTCCTCTTCGACCGTGCTTTCGATCACGCTGCTTCCCCTTGACCTCCGCCCTCCCCAATCCCGACCCCCAGCTCGGGTCCAGCTCCTTGGGACCTCCTCCCGACGTGAAAGCGCTATACAAATGTAATTTTGTTGTTGTTGTTGTGTGGGTTTTCTGTCCCCAAACTGTTTGGTTGTTTTATTCTCTCCCCCGGACTCCAGCCCCCAGGCAAGGCAAGTTTCCTTACTCCACACGTCTCTGTTTACTTAGCAGTAAGTAGGAATCCGGTTGTCAGTCGATTGGCAGGGGTAATAATCCCATCAAAATAATAGTAATAAGAATAATAATTTGGTCACTTAATCCACACCTGTTTGTGGGACGCTGTTGTGCACAATTGGCTGCAGGTTTTCGTCCACAAAATACACTTTACAGTATATTCTGTGAAGCGCTTTGAGACGACTCGAAGATGTGATAAGGCACTGTGTCAAATGCAAGGATTATTCTTATTTTAAGCCGGGCAGCGAAGGGCAACCTTGTGGCTAGCGGGAATCAGGTACAGAGAAACTGGGAATATTCCCGGAGTGACGAGGTATAGGGAGATCACATTCACATTGTCAGTCTCCTCCAGTGTTTAATGGCAGAGCACTGGGGGTAATGGGAGGTAAATATTTTCCAAAATAAATGGAATTCAAAGCAAATTAACATTACATTTATGCTTTGAATTTACCAGATACACGCACAGCCCCTGTGACCATGCCAGATACACGCACATCCTCCATGACCACGCCAGATACACGCACAGCCCCTGTGACCATGCCAGATACACGCACGTCCTCCATGACCACGCCAGATACACGCACAGCCCCCGTGACTCCGCCAGATACACGCACAGCCCCCGTGACTACACAAGATACAGGCACATTCTCCATGATGTCAGATACACACACAGCCCTTGCGACGACGTCAGATACACGTACATCCTCCATGACCACGCCAAATATACGCACAGCCGCCATGACCATGCCAGATACACGCATAGCCCCCGTGATCACACCAGATACACGGACAGCCTCCGCAACCATACCAGATACACGCACATCCTCAATTGTACCAAATCCACGCACAGGCCTCGTGACCACGCCAGCTACAAGCACAGCACCCATGGCCATGCCAGATACACACACGCACACAGCCCCCTTGAACATACCAGACACACGCACAAACACAGCCTCCGTGACTATACCAGATACACGCACACACACAGCCCCTGTGGCCATGCCAGATGCACGCACAGCCCCCTTGAACACACCAGACACACGCACACACACAGCCTCCGTGACCATGCCAGATGCACGCACAGCCCCCATGACCACACCAGATACACACATGCGCACAGCCCCCTTGAACATACAAGACACACGCACACACACAGCCTCCGTGACCATACCAGATACACGCACACACACAGCCCCTGTGGCCATGCCAGATGCACGCACAGCCCCCGTGACCACACCAGATACACACACACGCACAGCCCCCTTGAACATACCAGACACACGCACACACACAGCCTCTGTGACCATACCAGATACACGCACACACACAGCCCCTGTGACCATGCCAGATGCACGCACAGCCCCCGTGACCACACCAGATACACACATGCGCACAGCCCCCATGACCACAGCAGATACACACACACGCACAGCCTCCTTGAACATACCAGATACACTCACACGCAGAGCCCCCATTACCACGGCAGATACTCGCACAGCCCCCATGACCACTACAGATACACACACACGCACAGTCCGAGGTCACACGCCAGACACACGCGCACACGCACAGACAGCCCCCAGCACCACGCCAGATACACGCACACGCGGAGCCTCCATCACCACCGCAGATGCACGCACAACCCGCGTGACCACTGCAGATACACAGACAAGGACAGCCCGAGGTCACACGCCAGACACACGCACACGCAACCGCACAGCCCCCAACACCACGCCAGTTACACTCACAACCCCCGTGAATACGTCAGCCACAAGGACACGGGCAGTCCTGGCCATGGATGACCTGAACCAGCTCCCACAGGCCGTGACCCAGAGACCAGCCACATCCACAGCACCCGGGAGGAAGTCTGGCGATGGGCACCTGGGTACGTCTTATATCTCCTCTTCATTCTGTTGGGCAAAATAAATGGTGTTGGCTGATCACTGTGTGGCTATTGCTATTATGGACTGTGTGGCTGTTCCTGCTCACAGTTCCAGGGGGCGCTGTTGTCACTGTAACTCTCTCTTGCAGACCTGAGGATCATCGTAACAATAGCTGTGTGCGTTCTCATCACGGTGACTGGCTGCCTCGTGTTCTTGTACACCAAAGGGTACGTGGCTATGCCTCCCCCTCCACTCCCCCACCCACTCCCGGCTCAGTAACGTCAACCTGGCGGCGGTCAGGCTCCCACCGAGTGCATTCCCAGGGGGGAGGGCGGGAGAGGGGAGGGGAGGCTGGGCTCACTAGACTGAATTAATAATAATAATGCTTGCATTATGTCTTCGACATGTCTCAAAGCGCTTCACAGACTACACTGTAAAGTGTAGTGACTGTGTGTTTTGTGGGCGATTAAGAAACCAGATAAACCCCAAGTTCCAGTTTTCAGGATTAATTCTCAGTCAGAAGGGATGTCATCAACCCCAAATCCTACACTCCACGAGTTAGTGCTTTATCCACCCCCTGATAGTAATAACCGATTCCCTAAATTGGTAATTAATCCATTCACTAGTTAGTACTTTATCCATTTTTGCAAGTTAGTGCGTTCCTAGCTTGTTAGTTAATATTTTACCCATTCCCTAGTCAACTGTACAACGACAAATTACATTTACACAGTGCCTTTTCACGTTAGGAGGACATCCCAAGGCGCTGGACAGTCAGGGATCTACAGACCAAGCTGGTGGTTGGGATCCAGAGGGCTGGAGGGCGGGGAGGATAGGGGTAGGAGGGTGACTGAAGGCGCAGTCAAAGAGGAGGGTCTTGAGATGGATTTTGAAGGAGGCAAGGGAGGGTCGAGGTGGAGGGACTGTGTGATGGACTTCCAGAGGGTGGGGGCAGAGAGGCAGAAGGACCACCCGTCAATGGTGAGACGGGCAAAGTGGGGGACATGAAGCAGGCTGGAGCCCGTTGAGTGGAAGTAGCGAATAGGTTGGTAGGTGGTTAGGAGGTCACAGAGGTAGGGAGGAGCAAGGCCATGAAGGACTTTGAAGGTGAGGACCAGGATTTGAACTGATCCTCTGAGTGAAGTGGAGTTGGCGAGAATGGGGGTGATAGGGCAATGTTGCAGAGGTGGGGAAAGGCAGAGCAGGTCATGGAGCGGATGTGTGGTTTGAAGGACAGTTGGGGGTCAAACAGGATGCTAAGGTTCCATATTGGCTCAGTGAGGTGTAGAGTGCGTCCATGAAGGGTAATGCTGTTATTGCTATGGACAGCATGGAAATCCAATTGGAGGGGTTTGTGGAGGGAGATGAAAGAGCAAATCAGGGATGCGACAACTACTCTCCAGGGAGAGGATAGGGAGGTTGGAGATGGGGCGATAGCTGGAGAATAGTCATGGGTCCAAGTAAGGTTTTTTGAGGCTGGGGGTGATGATAGCTGATTTTAGAGGAGTGGGAACAGTGCCAGTGGATAAGAAGAGATTGATGATGTTGGTGAAAAGAGAGGCCAGGAGGTGGAGCTGGGAGATAAGGAGGGGTGTGGGGATGGGGGAGCAGGTGGTGGGCATTATTTTTGAGATGATGGAGGTGAGGAAAGAGCGGGAGATGGTGCCGAAGCTGGGTAGGCAGGGATGGGTAGGAACCAGGGTGTGAGAGGGACGTGGGGAGGGGATAGTGGCAGAGGTAGCCAAGTGAATCCCCTCAATTTTGGACTCGAGGAAGTCCAACATCTCCTCGCAGTTGAAATTAGAGGAGAGGATGGGCGAGGTGCAAGAAGGTGGATGGAGGAGGCGGTTAATGGTAGGGAAGAGGAGCCTGGGGTTATCCTTCGCCTCCAAAATTATCAAGATTTGGCAGAGGCGACGGCGGAGAGGTAGCCCTTGGTGTAGTCTAGCCAGGTCTGCCGATGGATCATTAGGTTTGATTTGGTCCAGGTGTGTTTGGCGGCACGCACTTGTGCCTTGAGGTTTCAAAGGTGGTTGATTTTCTAGCGGGATTTACGGGTGTAGGAGGCAGTTCAGGAGGTGAGGGCTGCAAGGGAGTCAAGGATGGAGGAGGAAGTTGTTGAGAAGACAGAGCAAGGATGGTAGGTTGTTGTGAGAGGAGGGCCAGAGGGCAGGAGTTTGGATAACTCCTGGCAGGGGGGAGTGTGTGGGAGGATATTTATTTTCCAAGGCGGTAGGGGATAGTGATAGTTTGGGTGGGGGGGATGGGGATGGAGGAGTTAAGGGAGATGAAATAGTGATCCAAAATTACTTTGTCAGTAATGGTAATGTCCAAGACGGTGAGGCCCCAGGTGATCACCAGATCAAGGGGGTGACCATGGACGTGGGTGGAAGAGTTGATATGTAGGGTGAGGTTGTGGGAGGAAAGGACGGAAGACACGTCAGCAGAGTTAGAACAAGAGGGGATGAAGTGGAGGTTGAAGTCACCTAGGATGAGGAGGCATTTGGAGTAGGGGTAGAGGGAAGATGTCGCGGAGGAAGGTGGGGGAGGGTTTGGGGGGACTATAAATAAGGAGAATTTTGAGGGAAAGGTTGGAGAGAGGTGCTCGAAGGAGGGGAAGGATTCGGAGGAGTAAGGGGATAGGCCGAGTGGGGATCTGGGAAATACTTCAACCAATCGCAAATTAGTATGTTAACCATTTGTTAGTTAGTACTTTGCCTATTTGCTAGTTAGACACTCCCTGGTTGCTCAGTGATTTTCCCGTGCCTGGTGCTAACCACAGTTTCTCCTCACAGACTTTGGTTTGGGAAGAAGAAGAAGCTGGTGATCTCGGGCTCCGGGGGGAGCCGGGGAGCCTGCGAGGCCCCAGAAGGAGAAGGGGGGCCGGAGCGGGGGTCAGAGCAGGGGCCGGACAACTTAAAGAAATCGGAAGAATGGTTTCAGTTGATGAACGAAGACCAGGTGGACATCCTGCCTGAGTCCGAGGAGGGCTCGATGTTAATGAATGGCAACGACGTGCCAGATGCAGCCAACGGCAACATGAGGTCCACCGTATAGGGCCCGGACAGGGCGGGGTGGGGCTCCTCCTAGCCGTCTACACGGCTTTCACACCACAGTCACAGCCCCGCCCGCAGAGAAAGCCTGTCCTTGTTGACCTCCAACCTTTAGACAATCTCCAAGGTCATTTCCTCTGCCAGCAATTTGGGGGGTTATTTGAATATTTAAAAGACATTAGGACAGGGTGTGGCGTGAGGACCTGACGCTGCCCACAGTGAGTGCAACACTGGATGAAGCTCAAGGTCCAGCCGGCACCTGCCCACCCCTAGTGGCCACCTGTCATCCATCAATCCTGGGAGCAAAACCCCCACTCACCGAAGGCTGCTTTCAGCGCCAGGAGCCATCTCTGGGTCAGGGGCTGGCTCAAAAGGGGAGGGGCTGGCTCAAAAGGGGAGGGGTTGGCTCAAAGGGGGAGGTGCTAACTCAAAAGGGGTGGAGCTGGGTCAAGCGGTGTGGCTGGCTCAGGGGGAGGGGCTGGGTCAGGGGGAGGTGCGGTGCGTCAGGGGGAGGGGCGCAGACTTCCGTGGACAGATATTTTTTAGGTCAGGGGTATCCAGGGATATGGGTCATTGGAATTGAGGTACAAATCAGACACAATCTTATGGACTGGCGGAACAGGCTTGAAGGGCTGAATGTCCTACTTCTGTTCCTATGGGTTAGGGGCTGGGCCTGGGGCGCTCGGTAAATACACACTTCATTATTGTGGAGATAAATTGAGCAGAACTGGATTGTCGGGGTGTGTGAGCAATGGGAGAGCCTGGGAGAGGGAGGGAGGGGTGGGTGGACCACTGGGTGGTCTCTGTGTGTGTGTATCTGCATGAGTCACATTCACTGGGACGTCCTCCCGATGTGAAAGGCGCTTTATAAATGCAATTTGTTGTTGTTGTTGTTGGATGTGTCTACGTATGCTTGTGTGCGCATATTTATGAGAATGTGTGTGTGTATGTTCTAAATAAATAAAAAGTAAAAAAAATTTGGTCACTCAATCCACAGCTGTTTGTGGGACGCTGCTTTGCGCAATTGGCTGACACGTTTCGCCCACAAAATATACGATCAATTCACTTTACAATATATTCTGTGAAGCGCTTTAAAACATCTCGAAGACGTGATAAGGTGCTGTATCAAATGCAAAGATTATTATGTGTGTGTGTGCAATCGTGTCCATTTGCACACATGTGTGGAGACACTGTGTGTGTGTAACTGTGTCCATTTGCACACATGTGTGTATATTTGAAGCCTGTCTGTTACCTGTAATTTCTCCCTCGCCTCAAAATAAAGAGCAGAGAAGGTGAGTGGCTGTGACTGTGTTTCTGTGCTGGCGACGCTCCCAGCTCCCAGCTCCCAGCTCACAAGAGGCTCTTGGCTCCAGGTACAGCTTGCAGATAAATAACCCATTATTGTTAACCCCCCCCCACCACCACTCACCCCTCTCCAGAGGCTTGGCGCCAGCCACCGCCCCCCCACCCCGCGCGGAGCTGTGACAGACGCGGCCCTTTAGTGAGCGAGCGTGGGACAGAGCCCTGAGTCAATGTGACTAATGAAGATTTGGCCAGCGACGATGGAGGCTCGAGTTCAGTGTAAACAGGAGGGAGAGGAGAGAGAGCTGGCCTGGGCTCCTGCCATCCTTCTCTCTAATTGTCTGTGTGAATCCCCGAGGCAATTAATATTCCAAAGTTTCCTCCTCCACTTTCCCCCTCGCTTGCTCGCTCGCTATGGGTGTCCATGGCTGCCTGGCAATTCCCTCCCTCCCTCCAGCTCGGCGTCGTGCTCGGCCACTGTCAAGCGCTCTGGTACGCTACCCGGCATGAGAGGCGATGTGTAAATGCAAGTTGTTGTAGTGAAGCCTGGCACCCTGGGCTCCTCACACATGGCTGGCTGTTTAGGGGCCGTGCCCCCACTCCTCCGCTCAGCGCCCCAAGTCCCAACCTTCCTGAGACTCCAACCATTTCATCTTCACAATGTTAAAATCTCACAGAGTCATCGCTGATTCACATACACACACAGCTTCACCCTCAACCGCCCACCGCACCCCCCCCCCCACACACACACAGCTCCCCTCACACAGCCCCCCACCCACACACACAAAGACACACACTCAGCCCCATCCCCACACACACACACGGGGCCCCCCTCTCACACAATCACCCCCCCGCACCTAAACCCCCACACACACAGCCCCCACACACATACACAGCACCCGCTCCCACAAACACACAGCCTACCCCCCACACACAGCGCCCCCCCGCCCACCTCACATACACAAAAACACACACACAGCCCCCCCACATGTGCTCGGATGTTATGTATAGCGAGACAAACAGAAGCAGGAAAACCCTCCTTTGAGCTGAGTGGAGTTGAGGTACCAATCAACATTTATTGTATTTATTCCATAAACTTATATACACAAAAGATACAGCACAGACTTAGATCAACTATTCTTATGGGTTTCAATATACAAAGGTGCAGTTTTGTACATGAGAATCTCAATAGCAAACCCCACACAAATATATGAAAGTGGAAAAATTCACACCATTAATCAGAAAAGGATTCCAGTACACTATATAAAAACACACAAAAAAAAAAGGTGTTTTTGTTCTCTTTAATAAACTATCAAGTTACCAGCGATAACCGCAGAAAACGTGTCAGATTTTCTACAATAGTACCTGCTGCTCTCGGAGTCACTGTGGACAGGACAGAATAGGACACGGAGTCCCCCGGACCAGACTGTGAGCCCCTCTCTATCGTTCATCTCCCCACTTCTCTGCCATTCACCCGTTTTCCCCCCCACCCACCCCCAACCCGGTACACGGTAATTCCCCTTTTAGGAGGCAGTTTTTCACCCAAAGAATAATGGATATCTGGAACTCTCTTCCCCAAAAGGCTGTGGATGCTGGGTCCATTTAGATTTTCAAGACTGAGGTGGATAGATATTTGTTCGGTCAGGGTATCAAGGGATATGGGGCAAAGGTGGGTAAATGGAGTTAAGATATAGATCAGCCATAATCTGATAGAATGGTGGAACAGGCTCGAGAGACTGAATGGCCTCCTCCTGTTCCTATACTTGTATATTTATTGTGAGACCTTGTTTTGTGCAAAATGGTTGCACTAGGCTAGAGTTGGGGCTGGGGTTAAGGTTGTGGTTGGGGCTGGGATTGGGGCTGGGGTTGAGGCTGGGTCAGGGGCTGGAGCTAGGGTTCGGGCTGGGCTTGGGGGTTGGGGCTGGGCTTGGGGGTTGGGGCTGGGCTTGGGGGTTGGGGCTGGGCTTGGGGGTTGGGGCTGGTTTTGGGGTTTGGGCTGAAGTTTAAGTTGAGGCTGGCATTGGGGCTGGCGTTGGGGTTGAATAGGGCTTGGGCTAGGGTTGGGCTGATTTTGGCGCTGGGGCTGACGTTAGGTCTGGGGTTGGGGTTGTGGTTGGGGCTGGATTTGGGTTTGTGATTGGGGTTTGGGCAGTGGTTGGGGCTGGAGCTAGGGCTGGGTATTGGGCTGAGGTTGAAGCTGGGGCTGACGTTAAGTCTGGGGTTGGGGCTGGGTTTGGGGCTGATGTTGGGACTGGGGCTGGGGTTGTGGTTGGGGCTGATGTTGGGGCTGGGGTTGGGGCTGGTTTGAGGGCTGATGTTGGGGCTGGGTTTGGGGGCTGATGTTGGGGCTGGGTTTGGGGGCTGATGTTGGGGCTAGGGTTGGGGTCTGGGTTTGGGGCTGATGTTGGGGCTCGGGCTGGGGTTGTGGTTGAGACTGATGTCGGGGCTGATGTTGGGGCTGGGGTTGGGGTTTATATTGGGGCTGGGGTTGGGGTTGTGGTTGGGGCTGATGTTGGGGCTGGATTTGAGGTTGTGGTTGGGGCTGGATTTGGGGTTGGGGTTTGGGCTGTGGTTGGGGCTGGAGCTAGGGCTGGGACTGGGGTTGTGGTTGAGGTTGATGTTGGGGCTGGAGTTGGGGTTGGGGCTAGAGTTGGGTTGGGGCTGGGGCTGATGTTGGGGCTGGGGTTGATATTGGGGCTGGAGTTGGGGCTGGGGTTGGAGTTGGGGTTGGAGTTGGGGTTGATATTGGGGCTGGGGCTGATGTTGGGGTTGATATTGGGGCTGGGGCTGATGTTGGGGTTGGGGTTGATATTGGGGCTGGGGCTGATGTTGGGGTTGGGGTTGATATTGGGGCTGGGGCTGATGTTGGGGTTGGGGTTGATATTGGGGTTGGGGCTGATGTTGGGGTTGGGGCTGATGTTGGGGCTGGGGCTGGATTTGGGGCTGATGTTGGGGCTGGGGCTGATGTTGGGGTTGGGGTTGATATTGGGGCTGGGGCTGATGTTGGGGTTAATATTGGGGCTGGGGCTGATGTTGGGGTTGGGGTTGATATTGGGGCTGGGGCTGATGTTGGGGTTGGGGTTGATATTGGGGCTGGGGCTGATGTTGGGGTTGGGGTTGATATTGGGGCTGGGGCTGATGTTGGGGTTGGGGTTGATATTGGGGCTGGGGCTGATGTTGGGGTTGGGGCTGATGTTGGGGCTGGGGCTGGAGTTGGGGCTGATGTTGGGGCTGGGGCTGATGTTGGGGTTGGGGTTGATATTGGGGCTGGGGCTGATGTTGGGGTTGGGGTTGATATTGGGGCTGGGGCTGAGCTGGATCACAGACAGTTAGCAGCTGTTAGTTGCTGCACCAGGAATGGGTGATATGTTGTACACTCAGACAGTCGTTCTCATGAAAGACAAACTACTGTGTTGCTGATATGGTACCAGGATCCTGACACTGACTAGAGAGGGGAGAGGGGAGCCGGTAACCAGGTCGTAAACTCAACTATCAACTCGTAACTTGTCATCCCGTCCCATCACCGCCTGGTCCTTACTAACCCAGTGACACGTCACATCACATCAAACAACGGTAACCTTCCCAGCAAATCTGGGAATATTTACATTTACATTACAATACGTGAGATGGGACCACTGGAGATCACAGCAAGAGACACACTCACACACTCAACCACCCCCACCCCCACACCTCCACTGCTCCATCACACACCCTCACTCCCCCCTCCATACGTACACTCTCACAACTTTTCTCACACATGACCCCACCTACCCCACACACACAAACCCCAGCTTGGTGCAGGTCAGTGTTTACAGAGATAGAATCAGCTGGCGTGTCTGTGTGTGTGTGTTGGGGGTTTGGGCGGTGTAGAGGGCTGAGGGTCACAATTGCAGTGTGTCTAAGTGCTATCAGTGCACACAGGGAGGGGATCTGTTTGATGGGGAAATGAAAGATATTCATCACCACAACAGGACTTGGGAGCACCAGCAGGGGCCAGTGACGGGGAAGGGGCGGTTGTGTGGGTGGGGTCGAATTCTGGAAGGATAAGATTTAATGGTCTGAAAGGGCAGAGACCCAGGTGGGGTGGGGTAGAGCGTGACAGGGTGGGGTGGAGAGGAGATGAGGAACAGGTTGGAGATGTGAATACTGGATCCATTCGGAGATGGATAGATATTTGTTAGGTCAGGGTATCAAGGGATATGGGACAACTGGAGTTCAGGTACAGATCAGCCATGATCTTACAGAATGGTAAAACAGGCTCGAGGGGTTGAATGGCCTACTCCTGTTCCTATGGCCCTATTTTTTCCTGTGGGACAAGCTCCCTCCAGTGACGAGGTGTTCTGAGGCACTGGATTGAGTGGTCCCCCCAATGACAGGGGTTCTCCAGTTTCCGTGGCATCGTGGCCCCCGAGGGAGCAGAAGGGAGAGATGCTCTCTCTCTCCCACCCACTCCACCCCGCCTGCGGACAATCTAGGTCAACCCTTCTCTCTCAAGGCTTCACTAAACAAAGCCAGGCTTGTACCAAGCTCTGAAGGGAACTGTGCCATCCCGAGTCCGATTACTTTACAAAGAGCTTGACTGATGATTCCCTCCCCTTTCTCGCAATTTCGCCCCCCCTCCCCCCACACCCCGCCGTCCCACCACCACCCTCCGCCCCCACAATCCCCACAGGACAGCACAGCATAGCAAGCCTGTGTACAACACCACTCTCTCTATTTTTGGTCAGCTGGGTGTCTGACACATGCGGAAACCCCATCATCATGCGCTTAAGTGTATCCAAACCGAGCTGAGAATTCCATGCATCCAACATACACATGGAAATCCCTGAGATAGGTTGTTCTAATGGAATGCGCTCTCTCTCTCTTTCCCTGGAGGAACGCATCCTGCTTACCTAAAATCCCGCAAGTATTAGGCTCAGATTGGCAAGAGCCAAGGCTTGGGGACCCCAAAATGTGCGTTGGGGTAACTGCTGGAGTCTAACCAGGTAAAGCCGCACAGCTTGCCATTGATAGCGCTGTCTGGCAAGCGTTCCCGCTGTTCTCAGCAAAGCAAAGCGTTGTATTGAGTGGGTGTCTTTCTGTGAGGCGGTACCTCCACTCCGATGAAGGCACCCATTCTCTGCACCATTCACTCACTCACACACACACACACACAAAGCCAGCTCCACTCTCCGGGCAACAGCCGCGCTTTCTCATTCAAGCTGTTTTTTTTTTAAAAAGACATATTAAAAACCTCTATTTTATCCGACAACAAAACAAAATGGAAAAACGAGAAAAGAGCCGTCTACCCCCCAGGGAGGGAGGTGGGGAGAGAGGTGGGGGGAGGGTGTGGGGGGTGGGGGGCTCATAAACCAAGGTCGCCATGGAAACTTGCTCAACACTGTCTCCGCTGGCAGCTGATCGATGGCCTATTGTGCTTCTCTCTCTGCTCCTGGCAGCAAATGCCATCCTCCACCCCCCCCCACCGTTAGATGTGCTTTGATACAGGAAGGGTGGGGGGGGGGGGGGAGGCGGGCGCGCAGAAGGTGACATGATCCTGTGAGGAGGGCCTATTTCTCTCTCCCATCCCCCACCTCAGGTCCTTTTGCCCCCTTCCCCCCCACCCCCAACCCCACCCCATCCACCATTCTCTAGTGTTTAATTATAGGAAATCACTTTCCTATTAAATTTTCATTGGGTTTGCACTGAAGTTTGCTCCCTGCGGCTCGTGATTTATATGCCGTCCCGTCACTGATTTATGCTACTTCACTTCCCAGGAATATTTCATTTAATAAGATAAGAATCAACACTTTCTGCTTCCAGCATCTCCCTGGGAACCTGTTCATATATTTATTACTCGTTTCTGGGTTTACTTTGTTTTAAAATGGGGGGGTGGGGGGGAGGGGGGCGTGTGGTTCCTGGGGGAGATCGGGAGGGGGAAGGGGGGAATGAAAGATTTTGATAACGTTTATAAGATCTCTTCCCTTCTAAACCCGGAGCCCGAGTAAATCTCGTTCTACTCTCTCCCCGACAATAGTCAAACTCCCACCTCACAAGAGCGCCCCCTACTGCATCAGTGTGAGAGCTGCAGTCCGCGCATCCTCTTGTGGCTCTCTCTCTCTGGTCTCTCTCTCTCACGTTGTCTTTTTCTCACTCTCTGTTTTTCTCTTTGTCCCTGTCTCTCTCTCTCTCGCTCTCTCCACGGTTTCTATCCCTCCACCTTACCCATTCCCTCTGCATCTTCAGATCGGGCCTGAAGACCTTCCTCTTCAACCGTGCCTACGGTCACCTCCCCCTCCCTCCTAGCTTGTGCCATGTCAAGTGCTCTGGGACGCTACCCTGTGTGAGGGGCGATATATAAATACAAGTTGTTGTTGTTGTTGGGGCCAGTTACTGATATAATATGAATAATTTAATAGTAACAATATGTTGTCTCATATCATACCCACAGAAAGAGGTTCGAAATGACCTAAAGATAATTGCACTCGCAGGTTATTGAAGCGACCAGAGGGGATTTCATTCCATCTACCCCCCACCATAAACTCTGAAAACATTTCCCCTCTCGCAGGAAAGTCTGCCCCCCTCCCCCCCACATCTATATAAAAATCACTTTATTCCCCTTTAGAGGGCTGTTTTTCCAGAATGTTGCCAGAACAACGGATCATAGGAACTGGGCAAACAGGGACAGGAGGCCATTCAGCCCATCAAGCTTATTCCACCAATTAACTGGATTTTAGCACATCATTTTATTCCAATCCCTGATGTCCTTGTAATCCAGAACTAACCTGCTATCATCCTCCTGCTCCCCCTCCTCACTCTTTCTCTCTTTCCCCTCCCATAAAACGTCCAGCAATTTCAATGAATTAGTCACTTTATCTATGAAAAAGGATATTGTCAATTTATAAAACTGTACACCAGAAAAGTCGCTATGAAAAGCTTTAGAATCGTTTAGGTTTCCCAGGAAAACGTGTTATCGATTAAGAGGACAAACGGTCATTAAAAAAAATGGTATCAAAACTAAACGCACATTATCACATGATTTTTGTAACGGTTTCTGTTTGTCTCTGATTGTTTGTGCATCTCTCTGTGTGTCTTAGTTGTGCATTTCTGTCTGTGTGTTTGTTGTGTGTACGTCTCTTGAATATCCGTAAATCTCTCTCTATCTGTGTCTGGGAGTGTCTGTGAATATCTCTCTTCCAGTCTCTGTGTGTGTATGTCCGTGTGTGTTAAGATCTTGTTAAATATCATGCTTGACATCCAACACAACAATTAAGAACAATCTACCGAAAACAGCAAGTAAGACGTCAGAAAAATAGAAAATCAGTTAGCGATTAACATCAGGAGCCAACGCCTGATCAGAATGCACATGTACAAAAATTCCAGTTGATGCCTAGAAATCCGTCCGACTCTCTGCTTCACACAGAGTCTGTGTGCGAGAGATAGAGGATGAACACACAGTCCACAAGTGGGTTCACACCCCCCCACCCCACCCCCTCGCCCACGGCAACGTTTCAATTAGCGGGCACTGTTTGTACATGATTACTTCCTGGGCCTTTTGTGTTGCAAATGACCACGAGGAGTTACACTACAACCTCAACATTCAGCACAGCAGCCAACAAGGGGGGACTGAGTTAGACTGTGGTGGGAGGGATGCGCGGTGGGGGGGGGGAGAACTCATGGAGACTGGCCCTGAAGTGCCTTTACTTCAGCTGTGGCATTTTTACACTGTCAAGCGCTCTGAGATGCTGCCCTGAGTGAATGTTGTTTGTTGTAGCTGTGGATTTCCTCCTTCTCTCCCCCACCCAGGGCTCACTCAGCCTTTTAAATACTTCTCAGTCGCATCTCTGATACCCTATGAAATAGCTCTCTGGCCTGCCTGCAGGGTTCACACCCTCTCACCTGCCCACCACTGCTTCAGGGCCGGACTCCATCCCGGAATGTGGGTCAGGAAGGGAGTGAGTGGGGAGGGGGGGGAATGGAAGCACAGGGGTTCCCAATAAAATGTGGGGATCATTAATAATAATCCTTGCATTTGACACTGCACCTTATCACCTCTTCAAAGCACTTCACAGGATATACTGTCAAGTGCAGTGATTGTGTATTTTCTGGGCGAAACGTATAGTCAATTCACTTCACATTATCATTCACTGCACAAATGATGTGTTTGACTGATAAGGGATGGGTGGGGATTGGGGAGGGTGGGTGGGGGGGGGGGGGGCTGCTTGGGTTTAAGAGATGCTAAACATCAAATAAAGGGGCCGGACAGAGTGATTAGCTTCACGATGACCTGGCACATGGTGCGTTACTAAAATGGTCTCCGATCCCCCACACAGCCTCTAACCAGCACGACTCCATCGAGTGTGTGGGTGCCCTCTCCATGCGAATGCCAGCCTTGCTGGGTGGGGGAGTGGTCATGGTGGTGTTGAGTTGTGTTGGGCTGGAGTGGGGTGTGTTGGGTTGGGCTCTGTTGCGGTGTGTTGGGTTGGGCTGGGGTGGGTTGGGCTGTGCAGGGGTTGGGCTGTGCTGTGCAGGTGTGGGGCTGGGTGGGTAGATCAAATAGCTGTGCTGAATATTGATTATCACTGTGTAACATGGCAGCATCCAATATGGCGGACACTAGGTCACAGGTCCTGCACTCGCAACACAGGTGAGCCACAGTAGGCGGGAAAGTGGACGGAAAGTGATTAAAATCGGGTTTAACTGTTTACAGAAAATGACTAGACATTGAACGAGAAATCGAGTACACTGTGGCCCCAGCGCTCAGCTCAGGACGGTCACTCCAACCAAGCGCTGACACCAGAAACAAAGATCCGAGAGCAGGGGAAGGTGAGGAGGTTTTGACGGACTGACTGAGTGTTTCCGGCACAGCGTCAGGCAGGCTGGTGACGGCTGGGCTGAAGCCTCCGGCCTTTTAGCTCTCGCGGTTCCAGGTTTCATCCTCCACACCAGGGTAGTCCGCAGGGCTGCCATTGTTAGCCACATTGACCTGCAAGTGATTACCAGGCAATCTAACTGAGAGAGACTTACAAACACACACACACCCTCACACACACACCCTCACACACAACTTCACACACCCTCCTCACACACACACTGCCACACACACACACACACCATCCTCACGCACATCCTCACACAGACACCCTCACGCATACACCATCCCACACACACTCACACACACACTCACACACCCTCCCACACACGCACCCTCACACTCTCACAAACACTCACCCTCAAATATGTACCCTCACACACACACACACACACACACATCACATACATACTCTCATACACATCCTCTCACACACACCCTCCCACACACACACTCATGCACACCCTCACGCATATCCTCACACTCACACACATCTCCCCTATTCACACTCACACACACCCTCACACTCTCACAAACACACCCTCACGCACACACCCTCATACACAAACACCCTCACATACACACTCTCATGCACATCCTCACACACATCTTCACACACACCTTCCCACACACACTCCCGCATACACACTCACACACCTTCACATACACCTTCCACACACCCTCACACAAACCCTCCCACACACACAACTTCACACTCTCACAAACACACACCCTCACACACATCCTCCTACACACACCCTCACGTACATACTCTCATACACATCCTCACACACATCTTCAACAAACACACCCTACCACACACACACCCTCAGACACACACCCTCACACACACACACTCATACATATCTTCACACACCCACACCCTCTCTCAAACATCCTTACGCACACTCCCTCACCCACACACTGTCTCACACACACATAGACACTAACACACACCCCCAACAATAATAACACCACACCCAACACCTATTAGACAGAATAATCGTCAGTCAGACCTCTCTGCCCCCACCCTTTTGAACTCCATCCCACAGTCCCTTTGCCTCGCTCCCTCCCTTGCCTCCTCAAGGCTTCGTCTCAAGACCCTCACCTTCGACCGCCCTCCTACCCTTTACCCTCCCCGCTCTACGCTCCTCCTGATCCCAGCCCCCAGCTCAGGTCCAAACCCCTGACTGTCCAGAGTCTTGGTACATCCTCCCGAGGTGAAAGGAGCTGTGTAAATGCAATTTATTGCTGTTGTTGTCTGGAAATGGGCCAGCGTACCTTGCAGTCCTCCACATGCACGGCACTGTAGCCGGAGTAATTGCCGGAGGGGGAGCTGTTCTCTTGGAGGGTCTTCAGACCAGCCTGTGCCGACTGCGTCTTGGTCATCTCCATGCCCTCCTGTGCCAGGTGTTGGGCATCCAGCTGCTCCAGCTCCAGCCGAGACAGGTGGTACACAATGCCCGCCCCGAACGAGTCGCCCACCACATTGACCGACGTCCGTAAGCGATCCCTAGGGGGTGGGGGGCGAGCACACACACACTCGCACAGTTCCTACCGACTCCCCAGCTACCACACACACAACACACTCACACGCGTGTAATATAATATAATAATCCTTGCATTTGATATACTGCCTTATCACATCATTGAGCAGGCTCAAAGAGCTTGATATTATAAAGTGGATTGACTGTGTTTTGGTTGTGAAACCTGATAGCCAATTGCGCACAGCAGTGTTCCATAAACAGTCGTGGATTGAGCGACCAATTTTTTTTAAGGAATCATTATCGCTTGAAAAGTGATCCACCAATCGACTAACATCCAGGTTCCTACTTACTGCAGGGGTGAGTGGAGTAAGGAAACTTACCCAAAGTTTCGCCCTGCCCAGGCATCAAACCCAGGTCCGCTCGCTTGTGAGGTGAGTGCACTAACCAATACTCTTAAGGGGCTTTGCCTACACCCATACATGCACACTCGCACATACCAAGCCCTCCCCTCCCCCCCCATCGGGCTCATTCCAGCCTCCAACGCAACCCCCAAATCCAGACCGCGTTTTGATAGAACAATGTGCTACTCACAGGAGCCAGTCCACAGCGACCAGCAGACTGATGTCCTGGGTGGGCAGTCCCACGGCGGTCAGGATCAACAGCATAGTGACCAGCCCAGCACTGGGGATACTGGCAGCTCCCACACTGGCCAGCGTTGCTGTCAGACTGCAGCACACACACACACACAGCATCAGCACAGGGTAAACATCAGCACACACACAGCATCAGCATCAGCACAGGGTAAACATCAGCACACACACGCACACACACACACACACACACACAGCATCAGCACAGGGTAAACATCAGCACACACACAGCATCAGCATCAGCACAGGATAAACATCAGCACACACACGCACACACACACACACACACACATACACAGCATCAGCACAGGGTAAACATCAGCACACACACGCACACACACGCACACACACAGCATCAGCACAGGGTAAACATCAGCACACACACACACACACACACAGCATCAGCACAGGGTAAACATCAGCGCACACGCACACACACAGCATCAGCACAGGGTAAACATCAGCACACACACACAGCATCAGCACAGGGTAAACATCAGCACACACACACACACAGCATCAGCACAGGGTAAACATCAGCGCACACGCACACACACAGCATCAGCACAGGGTAAACATCAGCACACACACACACACACACACACAGCATCAGTACAGGGTAAACATCAGCACACACACACAGCATCAGCACAGGGTAAACATCAGCACACACACGCACACAGCATCAGCACAGGGTAAACATCAGCACACACACGCACACAGCATCAGTACAGGGTAAACATCAGCACACACACGCACACAGCATCAGCACAGGGCACAACACACACACTCTTCCCCTGTACCCCCCGCCCCACAGACACACAGACACACACCTGCACACACACACACCCAGACATCCACACTGACAGACTCACAAACCTTCAGCGCGCACACACACCCACAGACATACCCACCCCCGCGTGCACACACCGATACGCACAACAGACACACACCTGTACTCCCATAGACACACGCGCAAACAGACACACACACCTCCACACCCCCCGCACATGGAGATATCCACAGATTCCCCCCCACAGACATACACTCACCCCCACCTCCGCAGACATCCCCCTCCCGTGTACACACCATTCCACAGACACCCCTGCGCCCACACACCCCACAAACATCCCCAAAGATATCCGGCACACACACCCTCCCACACGCACACAGACACCCCCACCACCCCGTGTTTAGAAGCTCACTCCCCCACATCACTGTGGGACTGAACCAAGGTCAGCCCGGAGGTGGTGGTGGTGGGGGGGAAAGAGGTCACACCACACAATATGGCGGAGGTGATGGTGAGGTGAGGCGCTGACCTGACGGTCACGATCTGCCCGGCGTCCAGGTAAATGCCATTCATCTGGGCGATAAAGATGGCGGCCACTGCCTCGTACAGCGCTGTCCCGTCCATGTTGATGGTAGCACCGACCGGCAGCACAAACCTGGTCACTCGCTTGTCTATTCCCAGGTTTTCCTCCAGGCACCGGAATGTCACCGGGAGAGTCCCAGCACTGCAGCCAATCACAAGGTCACTCAGCATCCCCCAGTCAGGCTTCCCTCCCCACTCCTCATCCCTCACCCCTTTTCACCTCCCCTTAATCTCCCCTCCACGCACCTCCTCACATCCTCCCTCCCAACCCTTCCACTTGATTGCCCTCACCTCCCACTCACCTATCCCTCCCCCTCATCTCCCCCACTACCTCACCTCCCCATCTATCCCTCCCCATCACCTCCCCCGTCTTCTCATCCCCTCACTTCCCACTCACCCTCACCCATGCCACGCTCCCTCCCTTGCCTCCTTCAAAGTATACCTCAAGACTCGTCTTCAATTACGCCTTCGACCCCCCTCCTACCCCTATGTTCCTTGCCTTCCACGTCTTCTGATCCCAACCCCCAGCTCAGGTCCAAATCCCTGACTGTCCAGCCCAGGACATCCACCCAACGTTCATAGAATCATAGAATTATACAGCACAGAAGGAGGCCATTCGGCCCATCGTGTCTGTGCCTGCTCTTTGAAGAGAGCTTCCAAATCCACCCCACTCCCCCGCGCTCTCCCCATAGCCCTACAAACTTGTCCTTCCTAAATAATTATCTGCTTCTCTCGTAAAAGTTGTTATTGAATCGGCTTCCACCAGCCTTTCAGGCAATGCATTCCAGATCCAAACAACTTGCTGTGTGAAAAATGTTCTCATCACCTCCTCTCTGTTTCTTTTAACAACTATTTTAAATTAGTGTCCTCGGGTTACCAAACCACCCGCCAGTGGAAATAGTTTCTCCTTGTTCACCCTATCGAATCCCCTGACAATCTTGAAAACTTCTATTAAGTCTCCTCTTAACCTTCTCTGCTCCAAGGAGAATAATCATAGCTTCTCTACCTCTCCTGATAATTGAAGTCCCTCATTCCTGGACCAAGCTGATAAATCTCCTTTGCATCCTCTCTAATGCCTTGACATCCTTCCTAAAGTGTGGGGCCCAGAACTGAACACAGTCTCTCGCTGAGGCCTATCCAGTGTTTTATAAGGATTCATCATAACTTCCTGACTTTTGTATTCTATACCTAGTATCCAGTATGCGTTTTTAACAGCTTTATCTACCTGCCACCTTCAAAGATTTACTTATATGAAGCCCCTAATAATAATTAGTGGTCCTAATACTGACCCTTGGGGGACACCACTGCACACTTCCTCCAGTCAGAACAACAACTGTTCACCACCACTCTCTGCTTTCTGTCCCATTCAGTTCTGTATCCGCTGCCACTGTCCCTTTAATACCGTGGGCTTCTATTTTGTTTACACGTCTCTTATGCGGCACTTTATCAAACGCCTTTTGAAAATCCACATAAACTACATCAACTGCACTACCTTCATCCACCCTCACCGTTACTTCATCAAAAAACTTGATCAGGTTTGTTAGACATAATAATAATGATCCTTGCATTTGATATTGCTCTTTTCACATCTTCTCGACGTCTCAAAGCGTTTCACAGAATAGACTGTAAAGGAATTGACCGCATACTTGTGGGTGAAATGCGGCAGCCAATTGCACACAGCAGTGTCCCACAAACAGTCATGGATTGAAAATGACCAATTTATTATTGTTTTTTGTTTTGGAGGGATTATTATTTGGAGGGACATGATTTGCCTTCAACAAATCTGTGTTGATTGTCCTTTATTAACCCATATTTTTCTAAGTGAAAATTTATTTTGTTCCGGATTATAGTCTCCAGAAGTTTCCCCACTACTGACGTTAGGCTGACCGGCCTGTAGTTCCCAAGTTTATCCTTCTGCCCCTTTTTGTACAGGAGAGTAACATTTGCAACTCTCCAGTCCTCTGGCATCACCCCGGTATCCAATGAGGATTGAAAGATTGTGGCCACAGCCTCCGTTATTTCCACCCTTACTTCCCTCAATAACCTAGGATGCATCCCGTCCGGACCGGGTGACTTATCTACCTTGAGCACCGACAACCTTTTTAGTACCGCCTCTCGATTTATTCTTATCTTATCCAATTTCTCTCCCCTCTCCTACGATATTGTGGCATTGGCTGCATCCTCTTCTTTTTGGCTGCATCCTCTGAACTCCTCTCCCTCTGGCCTTCAACCCTCACCGACCCCTCTTCTCCTCTCTCCCTCCTCCACAATATCCTCTCCTCCACACTCGATACTCTTGCCCCCATCACTTCCCGCACTGTCTCCTACTCCCGCTCCTCCCCCTGGTACACCACCCACCTCCGCTCACTGAAATGCCAGGTGCGGGCTGCTGAGCGCACCTTTGTCAAATCCGGCTTAACGGTCCACCGACAAATCTGGCTGGACCTCCTCAAAATTTACCGCTCCACTCTAGCCTCGGCCAAGTCGTCCTTCTACTCCAGGATAATCCTGGAGGCGAAGAACAACCCCAGGCTACTGTTTTCCACCACATCCCGACTCCTCCGTCCCCCCCGCCACCCCGCGCAGGTCATCTCCTCCAACCTTCACTGCGAGGAGATGCTGGATTTCCTTGAATCCAAGATCAAGGGAATCCGCTCCGCGGTCACTTCCCCTCCAACTTCCACCCACCACCCACCCCTTCCCTCCCACACTCCGACTCCTACCCATCCTCCCCTACACACCTTCGTACCCGTTTCCCCACCCTCTGTCACTGAACTCATCCTATCCCTAAAACCAACCACCTGCTCCCTTGACCCCATCCCCACTCCACTCCTTATCTCCCAGCTCCATTTTCTTGCCCCACACATCACTGACATCATAAACCTGTCCCTCTCCTCTGGCTCTGTCCCCATTCCATTAAAAACTGCCATCATCACGCCCACCCTGAAAAAACCCTCCCTTGATGCGTCGCAGCTATCAAGCTACCGGCCCATCTCCAACCTCCCCTTTCTCTCCAAGGTCTTGGAAAGAGTTGTCGCCTCCCAACTGCGCTCTTTCCTCTCCACCCATTCTCTTTTTGAACCCCTTCAGTCAGGTTTCCGTGCTGCTCATAGCACAGAAACTGCCCTGGTCAAGGTCACCAATGATATCCTGACCATCTGTGACCAGGGCTCCCTCTGTCTCCTCGTCCTCCTCGACCTATCGGCAGCATTCGATACGGTCGACCACGCTATCCTACTCCACCGCTTGTCCTCCCACCTCAACCTTCAAGGCACTGTCCTTGAATGGTTTAGCTCTTACCTTTCCCACCGTCTTCACTTCGTCTCAACGAATGGCTTCTCCTCCACCCCCCGTACTGTCTCATGTGGTGTCCCTCAGGGCTCTGTCCTCGGTCCCCTCCTCTTCACCCTCTATATGCTCCCCCTCGGTGACATCATCCGCAAACATGGGGTTAACTTCCACATGTATGCGGATGACACCCAACTCTACCTTTCCTCCTCTACTCTCAACTCCACGACCACCGATGTCCTGACAGCCTGCCTGTCCGACATCGAGTCCTGGACGAGAGACAACTTTCTTCAGCTCAACGTGCGAAAAACCGAGGCCCTCCTGATTGGCTCACGTCAGCGCCTCCGCACCTCAGGCGCTGACACCATCAGCATCCAAGGCTGCACTCTCCACCTCTCAAAGCCAGTCAGGAACCTCGGCGTTTTGTTCGACCCTGAGCTGTCCTTTCTCCCTCACATCCGCACCACAACTGGCACCGCCTTCCATCACCTCCGGAACATCGCCAGACTACGGCATTACCTCACCCCTCACGCTGCTGAAACCCTGGTTCACGCCTTTGTCACCTCAAGGCTGGACTATGGGAACTCTCTCCTCGCCGGCCTTCCCGCCACCTCCCTCCACAAGCTGCAGGTCATTCAGAACTCTGCAGCTCGTGTACTGTCCCGCACCAGACACCGCGACCACATCACACCCACCCTCGCTCGCCTCCACTGGCTCCCCATCCCCCAGAGGATTGATTTCAAGATCCTCATCCTCACCTACAAGGCCATTCACGGCCTTGCTCCCTCCTACCTCTCCAACCTACTATCCCCCTACCTACCTGCCCGTACCCTCCGTTCCTCTGGCTCCGGTCTGCTCCACGTCCCCCGCCCCAACCGCCCTACTATCGGTGGTCGGGCCTTCAGCCTCTCAGCCCCGAGGCTCTGGAACTCCATCCCCCAGTGCCTTCGCCTTGCTTCCTCCCTTTCCTCCTTCAAGGCCGGTCTCAAAACCTTTCTCTTTGACCGTGCCTTCAGCTCCCCTCTCGACTCTCTTCCTCCTCCTCGCTCCCTCCCTTCCCTCCCCTCACCCTGACCATTTCCCCCTCCTCTCTCCCTCCCTTCCCTCCCCTCACCCTGACCATTTCCCCCCTGCTCGGGTCATGACCCAACTGTGCAGCGCCTTGGGACGTCCTCCTGACGTGAAAGGCGCTCTATAAATGGAATCTTGTTGTTGTTGTTGTTGTTTTGTGAAGACAGATACAAAGTCCTCATTCAGTATGTCAGCCATGCCCTCTGCGACCACAAGAAGACTTCCTCTTTGGTCCCTAATTGGACCCACCCTACCTTTGACTAACCTTTTATTCTTTATATGCTTATAAAATACATTAGGGTTCCCTTTTATGTTACTTTTATGCTAATATTTTCTCATACAATCTCTTTGCTCCTCTTATTTCCTTTTTTCAGTTCTCCTCTGTAGTTTCTATATTCTATTTGACTATCTTGTGATATTTTGGACCTGACATTATGAAACCGAATGATGTTGTGATCACCATTGTCCAGATGCTCTCCTACTGAAATCTGCTCCACCTCATTCGCCAGAACTAGATCCGGCACTGCTTCCTTCCTCGTTGGGCTGGAAACGTACTGATCCAGAAAGTTATCCTGCACACATTTGAGGAATCCTTCCCCCTTTTTGCTCTTTACGCTGTTATTTTGCTAGTCTATGTTAGGAGTATTGCGTATTCTCAATACTCTATTGGTTTTGCATCTTTCTGAAATCTGCTTGCACATTTACTCGTCTATAGGCTTCCCACTATTTGGTGGTCTATAGTACTCACATTGTTGTTATTGTTAAGGAGTGAGTGACTGACTGACCTGGAAGCGGTGCCTAAGGCTGTGATCCAGGCCTGGAAGATGCCCCCGAGGAAGGAGAAAGGGTTTTTCCTGGTGATGCCGAAATAGATGAGGGGGAGGAATATGCCGCCGTGAATGATGAGGCCAGTCACCACCGTCACCATGTACATTCCCAGCTGCCGGGCTACCACCTCCAGGTCTTCAATAGCCACGATCTTCCCGCAGATCAGACTGCCGATACCCAGCGGGGAATACCTTACAGAGACAGGCAGACACCGAGTCATCGTCATAGGGAAACCTACCGCTCAGCTCAACCCAATAAGCTGTCCTCATGCCTATTAATGCAGCCTAGACACAGAGATGCCGAGATTCATTGTGCATATCAAAACAGTGCAGATATCAGTGCTTTGTGTGTGTATGTGTCTCTCTCTATCACTGTCTGTTTCAGTGGGGACCAACCTTTATGTTCGGCCAACAAAATAAATGTTTCTTGATTGAATGCTTCTTGATTTATACCATTGATCAAGAAATATTCAATCAAGACAAAATTGAAAACACACTTGCGTTTGAACACCGACTTATCGAGACTCATGTGAATGTTTAGGGGAGCCCCGCTTGATGGCCCCGCGGGCCACTTCTGGCCCATGGGCCACAGGTTGGCCACCACTGGTCTATTTGTCTCTGTGTGTGTCTCTCTCTGTGTCTCTCCGTATATTTGTCTCTCTTTTGTTCAAGGGTTGACATGTAGGCCATGCAGATAGTCAGCATGTGGTTACACGGTGTTAGCTTCGGACACAGAGAAGTGGGTTTAATTGTCTCTGGGTCTCCCGGGGGGGAGGGGATGACACCGGGAGGGGCAGGCACCAGGGGACGGGGCAGCATTGGGAGGCAGGGCCAGCATGGTAGCCATTCTTACCACATGATTAGTAAGACCAGCTTCATGACGATCTCATTCAGGATGTTGAAGAAATCAACCATCAGCTTCGCCTGATCCCCCATCCTCCCCATCGTTACCCCAAAGGCAATGAAGAAACCAATCAGACCTGTAAGCGAGAAAGTGCACTGAGCCAAACACCCAATACCCAACACCCACACATACACCCACAAGGACACCGACACCCCACCAACACACACCCACTCCAACACCCACAAGCACACCCACACCAACACACACACCCACACGCACACACACAACACCCACAAGCACACCGACACCCACACCAACACTGTCACCCACACCAACCTCCACACCAACACCTACACATACACAAAACAAGCAACACCTACAAGCACACACACAACACCCACAAGCACACCGACACCCACACCAACACTATCACCCACACCAACATCCACACCAACACATACACAAAACAAGCAACACCTACAAGCAACACCAACACATACACAAAACCCACCACCAACACCTATACCAACACCCACATGCACACCCTCACCAACACCCATACCCTCAACAACACCCATACCCACACACCCACCCACACCAACACCCAAATCAATAACTACATCTACATCCGCACACAAAGCAATACTCACACCAAAACTCAACACCCACAACAAATACCCATACCAACACCCACACCAACAAACAAACAGCAACACCCGCCAACACAACAACATCCACACAAACACACAAAATCCACCACCAACACCCTCACCAACACCCACACCTACATCCACACCAATAACTACATCAATCACCATACCAACACCAAACACCCACACAAATATCTACACCATCACCCACACCAACACCCCTCAACAACACCCACACCAGCACCTCACAACAACACCCAACTTCCAACACCCACATCAAACTCCCACACCAACACCCACACGAAGAACCACACCAATGACCACACTCACACCAATACTCACACCCATATGCACCCACCCACACTCTCACCACACCCAACACCCACACCATCACCCACACCAACTACCACACACACCCATCCACCAAAACCCACACCAACACCCACGTCAATACCCACACCAACAACCACATCTAAAGCCACACCCAACACCCACACCAACACCGGCATCAACACCCACATCAACACCCAACACTGACACCCACATCAACACCCACACCAACACACAACACTTACAACCAACATCAACAACCAACACCCACACCTAGATCCATACCTACACCCACACCCTTTCCAACACCAACATACACACCCACACAAACACCTACACCAACACCCATACCAACATCCACATCCATACCAACACCCACACCAATGCCCCACAACAACACCCACACCAACAGCAATACCCCACATCAAAATCCACACCCAACACCTACAACCAACACCCACACCCACACACAACCACACCAAAATCAACACCAACACCCATACCAACACATACACCAACTCCCACACCAACACCCAACATTCACAACCACCACCCACACCAC